AGAGCAGTAAAGCCCAGTGGTGAACAACAACTGCGTTTTTAATGTTCACAGTCACATAATCGAACCGTTCTTTGCATCCGGACTCCGCACGTAATAATCTCTCCTTTTAAAGATGGATAAAATAAGATTGTGAAATGTAGAATATTCTATAAAAAATAGAAAAGTAATTTTTTTTTTAGAATTTGATTAAATGCATTTATTGAAAAAGGGTTAAGACTATTTATTTATTAATAATTTAATTTTTTAATTCTTTATGATCATTTTATTTTTTTATTTGAGGGGCGTTATCTTAATAATTAATATCAGAATTCTATCTTTTAAAAAATGAAAGGCCTTATAATATTTATTAGTAGAGAGGCCCAATTAGAAGTTGGGCTTATGGGCCAATGAGCCCCCATTTCAGCTTGGTCGCTCTTAGGTGAGTACAAAAATTATTTTGTGTGGATACGGACACCGTCCGGAGACAATCTAGAGCACGCCACATAACTTTTTTGCTGTGTACCCCAAATGTGTACTGTTGTGTACCTGGTGACGTGGCGCATTCTGATTCGTCTTCGAACGATCCGGTGTCCGCACAGAATAATTTCTCGTTGTCAGAAGGAGAACAATATGTTGTCCTTTTTCAAAATAAATAAATAAAATCAACTGAGGAGTGAAGAATAGACTTTTAATTTTATAAATTTGTTTAAAATATACTTCTTTCAAATTTCTTGGAGTTAATGAGAGCACAGATAGGTAAGTTCTTCATTTTATTAATTGACTTTCATAATTGAATTATTTATGAAAAGGACTGCTAATTTGACTTGAAATGTAAAAATAGTTTAAGTATTAGTTTAATATTATTTTTTTCCTGATGTAAATAACTAGTTGGTCAATAAGTTATGAGGGTCAAACTAAGTATGGATGAGATCTGCCTATACTCAATCTAAGTAGTTGAATATATGTTATGAGAGTCAATAAAGGATCTGAATGATGTAGACCCAATTCAAAAAATTCAGATTCTGATTAAATTGTTAAGAGAGAAGGTCATGTTCAAGTCCAAAATTTAAACCCGTTTAATTAGTGGTTGAATTCAGGTTAGGTATGTCAAAACGGGTCAATGTGTCAGATTAGGGTCCAACCCGGCCCAACCTATGTCTAAATGGGTCAACCTAATCCCGACCAGATTTTGCAAACAAGTTAGATTTATTAACCCATACTAGAGCTACAGCGTTGGTGATCGAAAATCAGTATGGATAGACCAGACTTGAGCCATGAAGCACTGAGGCGAACACAGACCCAATCCCAGACGAACTTGAGGACGGTGAGGAGAATTCAGGTTTCCAGGTCAACCCGAACTCAACCCCATTTTATAAACGTGTCGGAAAACGGAACCCAAACCCGAGCCGTATGGTAAACGGGTTGAACCGAACACTAACCCGAAATTTTCCTGGTCGGATCCAAGTCGGGTTTTGGTCAGGTCAATTTTTGACACCTCTAATTCATGTTTACCCACGTACCAAATCGTAACTCGATTTTGGCTTGACGGCTAGTAATAATTTGCCTTGCAAATGTTAAATATGATTTATTTTTTGCATTTGAATCTTCAACCATTTGTTGCTATTGTCATGATGTAACAAACATATTAAAATCTATTGTCAAATGGCTACATAAATTTTTCCTTAGTGCGTTACCAAATGAATTTTGGTCACAAGATTGATTGAGAACTTGTTGAGCAAGTTAGGTTAAAATCTTAGCAACCTGATCGGACATCTATTTTGCATAACTTAAATTCTCTTTGATAGTATATTTGTTTAGAACTTTTGTTTTATTTTAATATTTTTTTTAAAAAAAAAAATATATGAAGAGGTTTTACTATGCATGAACTTTTATTCATAACTTTACAACTCTTTGCTACACAATTGCATAATAATTAATTCATCCCTTAAATAAAAAAATTTATGTTTTCCAAGCTTATTTTCATAACACCTAATAGCTAAAAAATGTGATAAATCATTACTATAATTACATCACTAATTGCTGAATTTAATATCATACAAAGTATGTGTTGAAAAAAAAAGAGAAAATAATTTTATAAGATTTATTTTCAATTTTTTTCATTATTTAATTCATCATTTTTTATAATGAATAATATGCATCTTATAATTTAATTAAAACATATATTTTATCATAATAAGTTGGCCATTAAATAGAGGACTTGCTATAGCCTATAGTAACAGTTGATTGGGCTAGCATCTACTGTGTTGAGTTAGCAACAAATTATCCAATAAACCGATGATTTTTTCTAATTTTAAAATTTTCTTTTATAATACTTAATTACATAATTAAATTTTTAATCATGCCTACTTTAAAATTTATCCTTTTTCATATGACATTAATGTGATTGATTAGTCAAAAGTTGAATCCATGCATGCATGGAAATATGTGTTTTTTTAGAAAATAATGAAAATATGTGTGATGAGTTACAATGGAAAGAACACAGATATAATTTAATATTAATATGAGCGTATGAATAAATCACATTTTTAGATTTTTAAAAAGTAATTATGAAATTAAGGCTTCATTTAGAATAGTTTTAGTATCGTCTTATAAAACAATTTTTTAGCTTTTAATATAATTTTTTTAAAAAAAAATATTAAAAATTATTTTAAAAAATAATAAAAAAAATGTTTCAAATGAAAATTTAAGTGTAAAAATATTATGATAATTAAGCAGACATATTGAATGGTACACAGAATCTCTCGATAAACTAGATTGGAATGACAAAATAATATTTAATTTTAGTGGCATCAAACCCAATCTATTGTATCAATGACTATGATGACTCACATGGAAGCTGTGAAATTTGACTAAAATTTCAGATTTTATTATTATTATTTTAAAAAAATTTAGCGAATTAAATCTTAAATTTATACATTGTACATACAAATCTTAAATTCATAATATTTTGATTGCAAATCTAAATTAAAATGGTTGCTCGAAAATTTAAAATTAGAATTATCAAATACAAAATAATATTATTGTACAGAATATATTAAAATAATAATAATAAAAAAAAAAAAACATTTAGACACTTTTCATCAAAAAAATATATCATTCCAAAGATTTCTTTCACCAAAAGTGGAATATTTAATCATTTAAAGTGGAAATATAGCATGCATAACTTTTAGCTTATTTCAAAGCTATTTTTTAATATATAAAATAAAAAAATACGAATATATAAAAAAAATCATAACTTTTTTGCATGATTTAATTATGTATCAAATATGAAAATATAGCATCCTATTTGAATATAAAAAATGCTCATATAATAAAAACCTATTCAATTCAGGAGAAACTATTCGGTGCGGAATATGAACGGGAAAAACCGTTCGGACATGCTTCCCATCCAAACATGTAAGTGTACACAATGTTTACATTTTTATACACTATGTATCAAATTTTTATACATATTATTTGTACATAACGTGTACATTCACAGTCCGAACGATTCTTCTAATTTCTCTCAATTCAAATAATTTCTGTGAGCATTCAATGATATTGACTAAAAAGAGATTATTTTGGAGAGGTAAAAACAATCATTTCAATTGTTCATAAAATTGGATTAATGATGATACATAATTGAAAATCAGGAGATAGCTATTTGTTTAATCTACTTTAAATATTAATGTTTTAGATAAATGATGACAAATCTTTGAAAATAAAATAATTTATTTTCAAATGAAAAATAATCAAATTCCCTTTCCCTGTAGAACACTAAGAAAAGCTTTACATGTAAAGCACTAAGATCTAAGAAACATAAGAACAAAATTATGTTTCTAGCTTACTTTACATGGAACTCTCTTTGAGTTCGAGCACTATAGCTTGCAATTATTTTGCATGCAATCATTGCATTGACGAATTTGCATCAGATTTTATTGATCCCACCTTTCCTGCCCATTTAGATTTCGTTTGCAACTAATTTCTTACTATTTCTTAAAACGGCTTTCAAGTACAAAAATAAAAAATTTTTATACTAAGAAATTTCTTTAAGAAACAGAAAGAAAACCGTCCCAAACAAAAACTTAGATTTCGTTTGGAACAACTTTCTTACTGTTTATGAAACAAGTTTATAGTACAAGAATTTCAAATTAAAAAAAAAAATTGTATTTAAAAACTATTTTATAAAACAATAAAAAAATTATCCCAAACAAAACCCTAGTCCATAAATTAATCCCCTTAGTAATTATGGGCCGCATGTGTTCATGATGCAGGTTCAAGTGATGCTACAATAAATGTAAAAGTAAATCTAAGAAAAAAATAGTTTGTTTTTATCATGGGTTTTCTGTTGTTGGTTGTTACGGGGATGGTCATATGTTTGCTGGTGGTAAGCTTGGTGTTGGTGCTTGGTCCGAGTTTATTTTTGGATGGGGGGATTTGTTTAGACTTGGCTTTAGGTTTTGGGGACTCTTGTTTTATAGGTTTGACGGCTTTCCAAACTATAATGAAACAATTCTACATTCCTCGGGTTGGCTTTGCATTGCTGGCAAATTTGGTGGTAAGTTCCTAACTAGTGGTTCTTCATTGACTTGTGGGTTGTTGCTTATTTCTTTTGAGAGCCTCGATTGGTTGTTTGGTGGCTTCCTACCTCCAATGGATGGTTCGTCCTTAACTGCTCGGTGGTTGCAAGATTGACATTATTGAGTCCGTCTGGATTGTAGCTTTCGTTATTTCTTGGGTTCATTTATACTGTTTTTATCATTTTAGCTCGTCCTTTGGAGTTTAGGCTCTCCATGTTTATTATTGTATTTTGGTTTGCTTTGGTCATTATATTTTTCTTTTTATTGAATAAAATTTGAGCTACTCCCTTTCACGTAAAAAAAAAAAACAAAAATTCCCTTAGTAATTATCATATTATATATCATTTTTCTTATTTGAAAGAAACAATTAATCTATAACAAATCTTTATTTCTGATGAATATTTCTCACAAAATTATTACTTTATAAACATTTATCATAATTTTTTTAAAAGCTGAACTACACAAGTAAATGAATACATGCATGGAATAATTAACAAACTCCTTTTAGAAATGTATAACAGATATTATATTAAATATGATTAAAAAAAAATGAATATTCGATTAATATATTTCAATGCTGGATCAGATCCATATCAATCTGGGCCAAGCTTGCCGCTTAAAGGTCCAATTCCTGATTCAAACTTTGTCTTATTGGGCGGCCCTTTTATATGGCCGTAGACTAAAAAAAAATTAGCAAATGAGGATGCCCTAATTTAAATTACACAAATGAACTCAATTGAGTTAATCATGAGGAGAAAATCCAAAATTAAGAAGCAAATAATCTGAAGCCCTCGAGAATAGAGCTGAGACTTGATGGTAGATGATTGCAGTAGAAAAGAAGAGAAAAACAAACAAGCTAAGCATAGAGCTCACATGCCCACAGTTCCTCTCTCTTTCTCTCTCCTCCATTAACCACAATTACAGTCATAAACTCACAGATCCTATAATTATATGTTAGTTTGAATGCTTGACCTTGAAGTGGTTTAATCATTTTTATTATAAAATTGAAATCGTAATTGAGCTTTAATGTATCATAAATAATTACATATGATATAAATTATTAAACATATAATCCTATTGCAAAACATAAATAATTTATGGAACTAGAAATGTTAGGGTTGTCAAAATCGGATTTTGGGTCGAATATGAATTTGACTCGACACTTTTTAACACAACTCAAATCCGACCCGCTTTTACAAACGAGTCAATTTTTCGGACCCAAACCCGACTTGTTTTGGGTATGTTTTACTAAAATATTTTAATTTAATTTAATTTATTTAAAGCTAAATCGAATTACGATAAAATTTACTTCAATCAATTTAAAATAAACTAAGCTTAATTCAGTTTGAGCAACATGGTTTATTATTTTTTGAAAATAGTATTTACTTATTTCATAACAACTTTCTAAAATCCTCCTAAATCAATTAAAAATGGGTCAAACAAGATTGATTTCGGATTTCGGGGTCAACCTGAACTCAACCCGGTTTTAAAAACGAGTCGAAATCCCAAACCCAAACTCAACCCGGTTACAATTCGGGTCAAGTTTTCGGATTGTGTCAATTATGAAGCCCAAATGTTAATATCAATTTATTAATTTAATCAATTATTTATATTCTAATGACATTTATATATTTATTAACATACCCTTCATAAGTGAATAAAAAATGTTCATACTGTTTCCATATATATATAATACTACTTCCAAAATACACTCCAAACACTTGCCTTCTTAAATAGCTCACCTTTGTCTCCTTTCTTGCACGTGGCATTCCTTTCTTCTCCTCTCTTATTAAAAACCAGCCACCCCTCACTCAGAAGCATCAAATTTTACTTTCTTCTGCTGTGTTCAACACTGAGAAGAGATAAAAAATGGCATTGGAAGCCGTGGTCTTCCCACATAATCTCCTAGGCTGCAATCTAAAGGACTTATATGAAGAAGAGCAGGCGTTCTATGGGAATTGGGACGTTTCTTACAGTTCTATGAAGCAGGGATTTGAGGAATGGAATACACATTCTTTGAATTTATCGCCACCGACGCATGAAATTGAATGTGCAGTGGAGGTGGCGGCTGCCGGAAAAAAGGATGAGTTGGTGGCCGGAGTTGAAGAAGAAGAAGGGAGTGGAAGAAAGAAGAGGAGAAGGAGCAAGGCCATGAAGAATAAGGAGGAAGTAGAGAGCCAGAGAATGACCCACATTGCCGTGGAAAGAAACCGGCGCAAGCAGATGAATTACTATCTTGCTCTGTTGCGATCTCTCATGCCTTCTTCCTATGTCCAAAGGGTCTCTCTCTCTCTCTATCTCTCTCTCTCTCTCTCTCTCTCTCTCTCTCTCTCTCTATCTCTATGCTTTATGAAACAGTTTCAAAAAAAGATCTTTACCAACCAAATTTCTCCAAAGAAAGTTGTTCTTCTAATTCAAGTTTCGTTCCGGACAGCTTTCATACTGCTTTGAGAAGCATTTAGAAAGCCGTCCCAAACGAAAGCTCTGGCTAGAAGCATCAGTTTTGTTCAACATTAAACTAGTTAAGAAGCCCTATCCAACAAACCTTTTAAGTGCTTTCAATGATGCAAGAACAATTTCATTCTGCAATCCCATTCAAAAACTTTTTTTTGCTACTTACTTTTGTTCAGGGTGATCAAGCTTCCATCATAAGCGGTGCTATAAACTTTGTGAAAGAGCTAGAACAGTTCCTCCAGTTCCTGGAAGTCCAAAAACAGCTCAAGCAACAAATAAAATCAGAAGAACAAACCTTCTCTTCCAAAACCAATCCACTGGCTTGTTTCTTAACCTCTCCCCAGTATTCTTCGCCGCCATCGATAGCCAACATCGAAGTTGGAATTGTGGAGAGCCATGCCAACCTCAAGATGCTATCATGCCGGCGGCCGAAGCAACTCCTGAAGCTGGTAATGGGGCTTCAGAATCTTCAGCTCACCATATTACACCTCAATGTTACTTCTGTTGAACCTATGGTCTTATATTCCTTCAACCTCAAGGTAATTATAAAGAAGTTTCAGAGCTCATTAGCCTATTGTAGTTAGATTGATGGTTTGATTGTGTTATGAATCGTAGGTAGAAGATGACTGTCAGCTGAATTCAGTGGATGAAATTGCAGCCGCCGTTCATGAAATTGTGTTGAAGAACCAAGAAGAGGCAGAGATTTTGCTGAGATAATCTTATTCGATTGTATTGTAATTGTACTTTCTGTTCTTCTCATAGTGCTGATAAGTCATTCAAGCTGCTATCTACTTTAGATGGATCTGTAAATAATGTGTTCAGAGTTAATAAAAGCTTAGATTAGAGTAACCATATGTTTAAAGATAGCTTCACTTTTCATGTCATTTATTATATGAGTAATTTGTTATTCTACATGAACTTATAAATATATAATTTTTACCAATACCATTAAACAAGTAACCAAATAAAATATGATGATGATATAAAGATAATTATACAAAAGAGAGAGTGGTATGCTAGTTAAGCATAATGATTTTATTCACTCAAGAACTTAATATAAAAATCATTAATTAAGTAAATCACCACATGAGCATGAAGACATAGAAGTGACAAGTAAATGTGTAATTAAACTATAGAACAATTGAAGACAATCAACTTGGCATTAGGATCCCCACTAAAGCTTGCTATTACAAACTACTCTCCTTCAATCTATAAGTAGAAGTAACCTTTTTATACCAATTTCTTTCTTAATGGGTAATGCAGACACCCTATAGTTCCACCGCAAGGCAGGAAGCAAGTGACTCCTAGTTCTCCCCAGTCGAAGTATTAATTAGTCAAGACGAGGAACCTAGTACTCCTAGTCCTCTACATTAAATTATAATATTCCTACTTCAAAGTGAAGAACCTACCACCCCTAGTACAACTCAGTAGGTAATAAAAAATATTTTTAAACCAAAATAATTTTACTTAAGCCTTGGAGGTGACTCAATGGATATCACCTATGACTATAATTTATACAATCCCTTAAAAAATTTGATTGCAAGATGTTCACAATAAGAGCAATCAAATACAATTAGACTTTTAAAAGATTTGAGTAAGAAATGCAAGGGCCAAAGGAGATTTTGATTAGAAGATGAACAATTTGAAGTTCTCTCCAAATTTTCTCCAAATGATCTCATAATATAAGCTCATTTTTTCTTATTTTTTGCATTACTTAAATTTTTTTAATGAAACTTTTAGGTCATATATAACAATTAACACTATTAAAAATATGCTTAACTGGCATATAAATATCAAGTCCACCTAATTAAGTATTATTACCAGTTATATTTACTGAATCATTCATAATAAAAAGTTCAGTAGATTGCACAATCTGATACACATTGTATTGTACGATTTACATATGTTAATATTTTGATTTTATACATTGAAAAAACTAGTTTAACAACTAATTTGAACTAGATCGTACTATATGATTATGAATCATATATTATTATTATTATCATTTATACGATCCATATAGTGTCATACGATTTATATAGTACTATAGGATCTATAAATCATACTATACAAACCATATAGCATCATTGATTATCCAATGCTCATAATCCATAGAAACATGTTTTGTAGCTCTCAATATATTTCAATAATCAAGTTATCATTTTTAATGATATTCTAAAATAATTTTAGCAATATAGATAGCATAAATGATATTAAAAAATAATTTTAATTTATAGTGTTCATCTCTCCTTAAAATGCTCTATAAATAAACTTAATATTTATACACAAGACTTGGCACTTTACACTTTGCACTTGAGGCTTGCAATCAATTAAATTTTATATTATACTTATTATAATAAATATAATATTTTTTAGATCCATCATAATTAAAATTTGGTCAAGATATTCTAATCTCTTTTTTTATAATTTATATCTCATTCATAGACTATATGTTCAATCAATTAAATTTAGATTTCACTATCTAAAAGTGAGAAAAAAGATGCAGGATGCCCCTGCTTAATTATTTTTCAAACAATTTTTGAAACCTAAAGTTCCGTTATAAAAAGCTTTCTATCACTACCAATCACAAGAGCTACACACAAAGTTTCTTCTACTTGATTTATGGAAGTCACGAAATTAGCAAAAGTACTTACTATTTAGATCAAAAAAATTATTGAAATGTTTCCTACTTCCTAGTGGCAGATCATCTACTGTAAAAAGTTTCTTCGAGCTTGTATTTATAAACAACATATTTAGTTGTCAAAGAACAAACTACATTTGACAAATTACACATAACAACGAAAAGATGAACAGAATCCCTGAACCACATGCATCACGGATGCTTCACACAATATTCTTCACGTCAATAATATTCTCTTGCTTGACGGGTTTTTACGTAAAATCCAAAAAAAATAGGGGAAAAAAAAAACCATTGGCCTAATGGGACCCCTAACAGCCCATTATACCGTTGGTCCCATGGACAAAATAATTGATAAGGATGGCGGCATTTAAAAGTAAGCTAAAATTAGGTATTTAAATGAAGGCGTGAAACATTTTTATAAATAATAACATTTTGATGGTTTCAAATTCAAAATAACAATCTTATTTGAAGACCTTATACTGTTTTATGTTTGATTTAACATATCAAAGTATATTTATATGTTTTCTATGGTTGATTTAACAGAATTGGAGGAAATGCAATTGCATGTTCATCACTTCACACTTTATATTTGGTTTTGATTCCAATATATTAAATGATAGTTTAGTTTATCTAAATGACTTGATTAGAAAGTATTAGAAATGATTTTTCTTTATTAGATTTAAATGAGAATTTGACTCTTAAAAGGACACAGTGAATAAAAAAAAACAAAAGATTCATGTAACCGATCCCACATAGTGAGATAAAGACTTGATGTTGTTGTTGTTGTTATTATGTTTATCTAAATATATTAATGGACAAATACATTATGTTAATTGACAATATTCACTTCATTTGATAATATAGTACTGTACTTAAAAATATCAAATGCAAGCTGATATGGTAGGTATTTGTATAATGTTCTCTGCAAAAAAAAGACTAAAGTATTCTAACGCCACCCAGTAGAACAACACATGGCATGATAATATGATATAGTCCAATAACTTCATGGCCAAAAACAATGATGATAAATTATATTTAGCAGGTGTAAGAAAAAACTCAGAACCTATCAGAATATTAGAAGTTAGATATTATACTCTATTGATGAAAATTTTGCTAGATCCAACTGCACATATCTAACTATTCTTTCTGATGGAGCTCTGTTAAAAAGAGAAGTGAAAACAAACAAAGGAATCTTGCAGAGGTTTTGATTTATTTACCTGACAGCTATTCTCCATGTCATGAAAAGCTCTCCAAGTACAGATGAAAACTGCTCTGCCCAGATGGATTAATTACTTTATCGGGCACATTGGGAAGATTAAAGAGGCATCACAAAAGTTAAAATTGAAAACAATTGCATCCTGCAAATTTCAGACAGAAATCAAGTATTTCAGAAGTTATTACGAAGGAACCAATGAAAGATATACTGTTAATAAAATAAAATAAAATAAAAAAATATCATCTACCAGGATTAGAAGACTGTTGGAGTTCTTCACAAGTAAAATCAGAATACATAGCTATTCACATGTGATGTACTTCTTTTCAAGTTCCGTGAGAGATTTGTCATGCTAGAGCATGTGAAGTTTAAGAACGAATTATCAGTTTGTATATTGTCAGATAACAGAACACCATAGCATGAGATTTCAAACAAGAAGTGATGCAAGATCCAGCTACAGTTTTTCCAAAGCAATAACGTTTTTTCTGTAAACTTCTGAGTAATGCTATAAAATATATATAAAACACAACGGTGGCTACTCACCTTCGTCTAAAAATCCACATGATTTTCATTATGGTTTAGGATTAATATTCATTGATATTCATATAAGGACTTTTTTGTTGCAAGTATTTGAAAATCAATTATTTTCTAAATAAGTATAACAACAAACAACAATAATAACAACAACAACAAATCTTTATCATACTTTGTGGGGTTGACTATATCCTAAATATAATGTAAAGCAAAATTAATAAATTTGAAATTATTTGTGATGTTTAGTTGCTTGCCAATAAAATTTCAAGAATTTAGTTTTTGTTCGCAATTAGAATCATTTTTTTTTTAATGTTAGAGCACAATTACAGGTTGAGCAGAGCGGAGTCAGGTCTGATGGTAGGTTTGGTGATGGGGTGACCTGGTGGGTCGATGAGGATGGGTAAGCTAACAACGTTGTTCATGACAAGCTTCAAAATGGCGATGGTCGATCACGACAATCTTCAAAACGTTAGTGTAAAAGATGGCCAAAACAACAAAGGTTATGGGTTTACAAGGCAAGCAATGTTGGTTAGATCAATCAGGGTCAGAAACAATGTTGGTATCAAGAACAATGTGGAGTTCGTAATGTGGGTTTCAAGCCCTAGGTCATGAGCAAATAGGGAAATGCAGTGTATTTAGAAATCTACTTATTCCGGTGATTTCATAATATGCAAAAAATGAACTAAGAATTGAAATTCAAATTCCTCAAATAATACCTTTGTTTTTTACTTTACTCTCAATCAAACACAGAATAACTCAAAACCCTTGTATTTAAAATGCGTACACTTAAAATCCCTCTAATCAAACATCCCCTTAATTTCAAATCGAAGAAAGCATGATATTGTCATCCTCATTTTGTGATACCATTTTATTTAGTTTTGGTAACTGTAACCCAGGCAACATAGTTTAAACTAAAAACAAAGGTTTTTTTTTAGATTTTGTTGGCATTGATCCTGTTAACATGAAATGCACCACCGAATATAAAATTTTCTACGTTTTCTAGTTTTTTGGTTATTGGACCTAATCGACATGGACTAAACCAATAATAATAATAATAATAATAATAATAAATCGGAAATCAAGAACCAATCAAAATGAACTGATTGGCTCATTTAAGACTTCCTACAGGTTTTTTTTTTGTTTTGTTTCATTAATCCAAATCTATTAATCATGGACTAAACCAGGCGGCACAAGACTTAATAAAGGGTATTATAGATTTTGATAGCCCAGACCCAAACGACATGGACTAAAACAACTGATATAATACTTAATAATTTTTTTTTATATATTTTGGTAACATGAAGCCGATCGTTATGTATTAAACCGGCTCACATCAACAAGTACAAGACATAGAAAACTAAATTTTTTTAAGGATTTCAAGCAAATAATGTTGTTCGCCTCTTCATTTGATTAGCTTTCTTTCACGATCAACACATAAGAGTGTTAAAAATCCAACAAGGAAAGCCATCTTATGCCAAATTGGTGTTCAAATCTGAAAGAGAAGTTTCTATTTGGCATTGAATCAAGCCACGAAATTTCCCATTTATGTTCTGTTAATAATCCAAAAAAAAAAATCACTGGCATGGAAAAAAAGACCTACAAAAATCAAAATATGCAATAAATAGATGTGAAATGAAAATAAAGTCGGTACATAATTGAAACAGCAATCTGGGCATAGGAACAGAGAAGGACAAAAATAGATGCCTTAAAGTAGTTCAACTTGAAACGCCAATGCTGAACATCATCAACATCCTCAAATATTTGCAAGGCAAGCTAAACGTGGTCCCCTGTAATATTACAAATATAAAAAGAGACGCTTGTCCCAAGTTTTGTGCCTTATGCATCCCCCCCTCCTAAGTTAATCCAATTACTATTAAATGATTAGTTCAATCAAAGAAACCAACAAGTTTTTGAAGGACCACAAAAGTCAAGCTTAATTGGGGGTATTAGCTACAATTCAAGAGAGATGTCCGCAAATTTGTTAAACAAGCATTGCATTTCAATATTGGAAGCCCCACTAGAAAAATGTGATAGCTATGTTAGTGGTAGAATTTGATTACCAGCATTTTCTTGAACTAATTCGTTCAAATATTGGCCCCTTAACCTCCACGATGATATTGACAACTGTAGTGTGATAACCTAAGAGCTCTGTATATTACATACAGGACGTGTCTATGTTAACGATTAAGATATCTTAAGCGGATGTCCTACTAAAAAAATCCATCATAAAACTTTCATAACAACAAAGCTAAATCAGTGTTAGTCACCACTTCCTACCTTAAATCAAGAAATAAGAAACAAAAAAAAAGGTATCTACACGTAGGAAACACATTAATCAATCATCAAGAAATTACAAAAGAAGGGCAAAAGGTAATGAACTGCAACTTGAAGTTCTGTTGTAGAACATACCAAATGTGACAATACCAAATATTTCCATTAATTATTCTTTGTTTTTGGGTCAATCTGTGTGTATGTAAGTTTGACAGGTTCTGCAAAAGGTCTCAACGGTTTTCAGTACTCACTTCACTATTTTCAGCATTAATGCCTAAAGAAGATGACTTATTTCTAAATATGTTGGGAATACAAACTAAAAGAATAGATGATGGGGACATCAGAGCATGGAAAGTTTACCAGAGGCGTGGTCGTTGATCTAAGACCACGATCGCGCCAATATATTTTTGAGTCCTCATATGTACTTGTTTTTATTTATTTGCTTTTGTATTCGTTTTAGTTATTTTTCTCTTTTTACCCCTTACTTAAGGGTGGTCATGTGTAAGCCCAATGGACTAAGTCGTCTTTTTATTTTCTCGTCCAATGTATGAGGCTATCTATAGCCCTTATGTTTTCTTTTGAAAGTTAATGAATGAATAAATTATAAAATTTTCTGCATATTGAGTTCTTGTAAGAGCTTGACAGGTTTTAGAAAGAGATCCCTTGGAGAGGGAAGTGAATTACCCACCAACCTTGGAAGGATCCGGGTTCGTGGTTAGTTTTATCTTTTTCTTTTCTACTCTTCCTCCCTTCTTTCTTACTCCATCCCACGGTTCACCTAGCTCCAACCGTCGGCCCTCCAAACCCGTCGGTTTCATCCCACCACCACCACACCACCAGCCACTACCAATCCGCCGTTTCCCCCATAGCCACCGGCCTAACACCACCATGCAATCAATCATCCTTCTCCCCACCTAGCCGTCAGTCCCACACCCAAATCCCTAGCCTAACCACCGGCCCTAGCCCTTCTCCTTGCTTCCAATTCCAAAATTCCCCATTAATACTTTCCATATTTCACCCTACCTCAATTGGAAGGCTTTGGGCCCCAATTATTCAGTGAAATTTTGAATTTTAAAAAACTTTCCAAACATAAGAATCTATTTTATGAAAGTTTTCAAATTCAGCCCCTTTTTGAATTTCAAATTAAATGGGAGTTAATTAAACCCTTCCTAATTTAATAATCCAAATCAAGAAGGCTTGATTTATTTTCCAAAACCCCTCCCTCTCTCTCCCTATGCCGCCGTGCCCCACCCCCCCTAGGTCCCCACCTCTTAAAATACTTTCTAACTTCAAGCCCTCCCCCTTAGGGAAGAATTCAAAACTCCCCACCCTCTCTCCTAGCCCTCCCCCCCGCCCATCCCTTCCCCTTTTAATTCTTTACAAAATTAAGAATTAATTAGGAAAACAAATTCCTAAATTTCCCTCCATCCCACCTTCCAAAATCTGAGCATATTTCTTCCCTAAGCCCCATCTTTGGGCCGGCCACCTCTCTCCCTCTTCTCCACTTGAATCCTTGAGAGAAACTTCTTTTTCTCTCAAGAAGAGTTCTTAAGGGAAGCGAAGACCTTCGTCGCCAACACTTCATCCTTACGGAATCGATGAATGGCCGATCCCGATCTTGACTCCGGCTTCGTCTACAACAATCAAGGAAACGTCGACATCCTCTGGTCAACATTCTTCGACGTCAACCTTGAAATAGACAATTCCGCCGAAAAATATCTGGATCGTATCATCTTTACCTTGGCCGAAGCAATCGAAGAGCAGCTTGCCAATGTTCAGTGGCAAAATCACTTCCGTTCCACGACAAGGGTGAACCTTTTCCCCTATTCAAATTCTCTTCTAATCCGCTGCTCTTGTAGGTTGTGATTCAAGCACAAGGAGTCGTGCCAAGCTCTCTGCCTTTGCTTAGTAAATGTAGGATTTGAGTTTTGATTTTATATGCTTTCTAATCTCATTGTTAACCTGGAGATTCTATTGAACATCTACTTAATGTGCATCTGTTGAAAATTCTAATTACTTTGGTGATTCTCGCTCTTAGCATGTGATTTGGCCTAAGCGAAGCCTCCCCTCTTTTGTTTTCTATTGTCGTTTAGTGGCTAACGTTTGAAATGAGCATATACGTGAAAAGGTTGGAGTAGCTCCAGTGAAAGATAAGATTAGAGAGAGTCGTCTTAGATGGTTTGGTTACATTAAATGAAGGCCTCCCGATGACCCGGTTAAGAAAGTTGAGATATTAGATTTGACTTATGTTAAGAAAGGTAGAGGTAGACCTAAAAAGACTTGGTTAGAAAATATTAGAAATGATCTTTTTTATTAGATTTAAATGAGAATTTGACTTTTAACCGGACACGATGACGAAAAAGGATTCATGTAGCCGACCCCACATAGTGGGACAAAGGCTTGATGTTGTTGTTGTTGTTGTCTTATTCAAATACGTGCAAGTTCTTAACGCATTCATTTCAATCATACTTAGTCCTGCATCAATAGAATAAATCAAAAAGAAAAAAACTTGCTCTTGGACCAAGCAATAACCTTGAAAACACCATCAAAATTTCTGAACCAGATTAATTAGAAAGTATCCGAATTCCACTAGCATCTGCAATGCATATTTTATCCAACCAGAGTAACCAGTCCCTAACAAAAGGAAGTTAAATCACCAATTACTAAATCCTTGAAGAGGTTAACTGGATTTTTTTCCTACGTCCAACAAACACATTCCTTTAACGCTTTCACAAGGTTTAGCTAGAGCATCCATTACATACATCACATGAAATAATGCAACTCATAAAAATTAGTGAAATGCACACTGCTATGACAGCTCCCTTTGCAAGAGACCGCCATCGTGATCACTATACCAATAAGCCCTTACCAAACAACAAATGTTGTGCCCCTCTTTAATGTGAAATCCATTTAGCAAATCCTCATTTTTCAAATAGAAGAGTTTGAAACAAATATAAAAGTAGAACGTGAAAAGATTTCATATAGTATCGTAAGGAACTGAAAAGAAACAAGCAGCCCATCCATTCACCGTTTTTTTCCCCTCATGGTTTAGACTATCTAACCTTAGTTATGCAACAGCGCACCTAGTTCCATGACCTAGCAGCCCATTCAAAGCATTCCTCAGCCCAAGACATTATTCAAAGCTTAGTCCTCTATTATTTTATTTCTCTCTCAAATTTGTTATTTACTTTTAGATTGTTATGCCCTTTTTTTCCAAAAGAACATTCAAACTGTTCTTGTTAGAAGAGTCTTTTACAAAACTTGATGAGAAGAGCATAGGGATAAATATTTGCAGCTGTAATTTTCCAAAAAAAAAATAGTGAAGGAACTCTTCAATTTTTATGCTCCATTGAAGGTCAGGATCCTCTACGATTCACCTAAATAGTGCCTCCGACTTCTCAATACACCAAAATTGTGTTAGAGTTGGAATGCCTGAGCAATTGCTAATGGAGGCAAATAAAGTCACCGCATAAAGACGTAGATATGGACATGCAAGCTCATTGGGCATTCCTCACAGCACTATAGTAGAGGTTCAACAACCTTTCTTTGGACATGTAGAGGATCAAAGTTGTTGTAGGTAGAGGAACAAGCATCATTAATTAACTTGGGGTTGGGAAAATTGAATCGAGTAATCAAGAACAACCACCACATGAAGTTCTATAATCATCCACAAGGAGAGCTCGATTCAATAGATAGCCTCATAGACAAATTTATTGATGATTCCGCCAGTTCCAAGCTTGATGCTTCTTCATGGAAACCTCAAAGATAGGAAATGTCTGAATCTGACACAGTAGGAGAAGTGGGGACAAGGGTTTTTAACAAACCATGGTTTGTCGTCACCAGCTAGTGGGAGCAGCTATAGACCCATTGACGAAGTAAGAGCAAACAACTTATTCACTCTTGGTCCTGGATGCAAAAATTATTGAAGGAACAATCCCTACTTAGTACTTATCGATTATGACTAGCTTCTAGACAAAGAAAAATTAATTTTCACAAGTAGGGGTGCTTGCTTGGTGAATGTACCAAACAATTTTATAGGCACAATGCTCAGATTGATCTAACTGAGGTAGAAAGGCACCATGTTCATTACCATAGAAAATTAAAAGACTCCATAAGTGACCAGTTAACCCTCCAATCTATTTGGAAGTTATCAGAGGCAATGAACATATATTCCAAAGAAAAGAGCAATACATCTTAAAATTCCAATAGGTGTTCCTCCAACCACAGGGGTCAGTATAACACTAATAGCTATGCTTTCCAATAGTGTGAGAAGAAAATTGTCCTCCCATCTCTTAAGCCTAAACCTGGTTAATAACAAGTCAATGCTCTACACACCATTTCAACTCCTAAGTTTTGTGCTAAAATAAACAAAGTGAAGTTATTATAATTTTGATTGCTAACACACCACAAAACTCCAGTGTCTTTCGTCTAAGAATGATGGCTTACTGAATGAACTCTTCTCAAGTATGGCTCAACAATTCTGATCCTGCTCTTACTCTTCTCAATTTTGAGCATGTTTTTGAAGTTGAAGTTGATGCTTGTATGATTGGAAATTTGAAATTCAAGTTATTTCATGAAGGCCAACTCATTAAGTTTTTAGTGAAAAATTTTAATGAAGCCAGGAAAAATGGACAATACTAAGAGTTGCATGCTTTTATGAGAGCCGCACACCACTAGGAACATTATCTTATATAAAAGGAGTTTATTATGTATATTGATCACCAAACTCTAAAATACATGAATTAAAAAAAAGTGTCGTATGCATGCTCGATGGATCTGCATTTTTCAAAAGTTAACTTCCCACATCAAACATTATGTGGGTCGCTTCAACCGAGTGACTGGAGCTTTAAGCAGGAAGGTCACCCTCTTTATTACTATCCAAATTGTGCCCATGGAATTTGAATCACTAAAGTACTTATATGTCGACGATGTAGATTTCAATGACATGGTTAAAATGCCTTCAACATGTAAATACTAATGACTTTCATTAAAAAAAAAAATTGTTCAGAGGAAGGCCAACTAAGTCAATATGAGAACTAATAATACAAGAGATATATTATGGTGGACTAGCATACATATGGGACGTGAACCAACCATTGAAAACTATTTTTGCCATGAATGTGGAGAGGCATAGCCAACTTCATGCAAAGGTGGGAAATATGACAAACAACTGAAGGACAAGCTCAAAATACTTTCCTTTATACTCCATTGCCCGTCCGAAATGATATCTAGGAAGACAAAGCATGGATTTTGTATCCCGGGACTGCTAATGGCATAACTAAAGAAGGACTCGGTGTTTGTTTTAGTTTTAGATTCTCAAACTTGACTTATTTTATAGCATGTTGAAATACTACTGATGCCATCAACATATATAATCATTTCTTTCAAGAGATTGTTCAACTACATTGGATACTCAAGTTCATCACCTCTAAATGTAATGTTAAGTTTGTGAACCACTTTTGGCAAGTGTTGAGGAAGAAATTTGACAACAACATATGAGCAAGCAAAGGTCATCAACTGCACCCTGGGCTCCAATATCTATAGCATCTCAACTAAAATGTGGGATCAAGCACATGCTCAAGCCAAATTTGCCTTTAATAACAATATTATTTTACCAAAGCAATGGCCACACTTATTCATTTTCCACACTAAGGTAACTAATTGCATAGTTGATCCATTGAGCTGCCCAAGAAATATGCAAACAGGAATGTTGAAGTTTTTTTTTTTTTGGAGAATGTTATTGGTAAGGTCTAAAAGAGTGACATGAAGTTTTTTTTCAAAATTTGGAGAACACTATTGATGTGCATTGATAAGTAGATAACCTCCATCACTTAAATTTTGAGTTCCATGGTTAGCAAACCATGCACATTTATTTAAACATCAAAATAGAATTAATAAATTTAACTAGCAAAAGACTTGGCAAACTCAAAAGAGTGATAGTGAGCTGAAATTCAAACAAGCTCAATAGGTTTGCAAGTGAATATGGCCTGGATAATCTGAAAAAAAAAAGACTTTCAATCGGTCTTACTAATGGATTTATTAGAGGCAAACTCATTATAATATCCATCAATATATATGATAAATTTCAATAATTTTGAAAATGATGCATGAAAATTTAATCTTGTGCTTGAAGGTTTCTAATTTTGATTACATTATAACATCCATCAATACGAATGTCACAAATTTTCACAATTTTGAAAATGATGAATGGACATTTGATCTTGTGTTCTACTAGGAATTTAAGGAGAAAAGGCATTCTCCTTCAAGGAGGAAAATCACTACCCTTTTTCTGATGTGTATTTTTGTCTTCTCCTTCATGTGGGAAATTCACTACCATTTTTTATTTTTTATGTGCATTTTTATCTTCTCCTTCATGCAGGAAAGTAACTACCCTTTTCTGAAGTGCGTTTTTGTCCACACACACAAACTCATACAATGAATTATAAAAAAGGAAGTGATCACATATTTTCCTTAATCTTCTTTCTAAGCTTAAATGCCATTGATCTAACTATCTTATACTCAACACTTCCTCTAGGAATAAAATTTCTGTCAGCTTCCATGACTTATGCCATCCCACACACAAGAACTCCAATGCATGGGATGAAGATCACTGCTCACTATTTTCCAATAAAACAGTTAGAAATAGCGCCATCATTAAAAAGAAACCTAGTAAAGCAATCAAACAAACGGCATCATCAATATAAGGATTTATAGCACATAAAAACTCACTCATCTCTCACAAGGTTAATTTAGCTAGCTTGGCACCTTCTTGTAATTTAGACCAACCAAAGAGAAGCACATTCCGAATACTTCAATTGAAGTGATGAAATTATGTTAAATCTATCTATGAACTTATAATTTCCATTGGGGAAAATCAATCAAATAAACATTCCGACTCAATGTCTTATAAAACTTCATTTCAATCATTAACCCATTATAAGAATTACGAAAAAAAATGGCAAACAAAAAAGAAAGTAATAATCAGGATACGCCCAAAACAAAAGGTTGGTAATACCAACATTTTTTGCTCAAAATCCTAAACAGTGCAACATTTGTAAGTTTAAATGACAGGATCCATGTACAAGTACAGAAGAAAGAAAGGAAAGGAGAGGGTAAACCGTTATTTCCAATTTAACAAATGAAGTACCAAAGCGTTTGCTCGATCTCAAATTTTTGGATTGAGAGCCTAAGCCTTACATTATCCCCGCAATTATGGAGTGAATTACATAACAGATAACATAAAAATTCTAAACTATAACCAGGGCATAGAATAGATCTCAAGCTAACCTCATCGCAACTCTTTCTAGATGAATTATTCGCATCAGCTAATTTTAGAAACCATAGAAAACCACAACCTTCGCTAATCTCAACTTCTTCATAACAATTATATGAAAGAAGTTCATTATCCTCAGCTGCAAACAAGAGATAAAGTATCAATTCTCAATCACACTGGAAGGACTGAGCTACTGCGCGATCTCCCATATCTTGAAAAGAAGAAAATTCTTCCACTTGCAGAGTTAGACCCTCCTCCAACATCCAGTGCTTTTTTTTGTTGACTTTCCTCGCTAAAACTACTGCCCTGCTTTGACCTATTCAGATTAACCCCATCTTCAGATCTCCCTTCACGATCCATTCTTAAAGATAAATCACTTGCCCGAAATGAATCCATAGAGTTGGACATCCACTCCTGCCCTAATACATTTTCTGGCAAACCACCTCGATCTCGAAGCGTGGAGCTCTCGATGCAATCCAAAGCAGTATCAGTAACAACCATATCTTCATCCTCTTCTAGCTCTTCCAAAACCCTAGAAGCAGAGCCGAAATCATCTCCTTCTGAGGCGACAGTAACGACGGAGTCGATGATTTTAGCCCGGCAAAGAGGGCAGCTAATATGAGATCGTAGCCAAGTATCGATGCATAAGACATGGAAAGCATGACCGCAGGCGGGGAGAAAACGAACAAGTTCGCCCTCGCAGAAATCACCGAGGCAAACCGAGCAATCTGCGGCAGTACCAACGCCGGATACGTAGGGTTTCGCGGAGATGGCATTGATTGTAGACTCATCAAGCCCGACGGTGCGAATGCGCCAAACAGGGTAATCGGCCTCACCTTCTTGCGATTCGGAGATACCAACGTTGCCGACTGAGGGGAGTTCACCTTCGCAGCGGCGACGGCGTGCGAGCACGGTATAGTAGGTAAGTACGAGGAATATGATGGCGGAGGCGACGGAGACGATGGGGATGATGACGTTGGCAATGAGATGGTGACCGGAAGAGGAGTCGTCGGAGGAAAGTGGAGAGGGAAGCGAATGTTGGGGTGACGGAAAGGCGTAGCAATCGTGCGTGCAACCGCTGGAGTTCTCCGATTTGTTGAAGATCAGAATCTGACGGCGAAGGGCCATAGGCGCGGGAGATCGCAGAGACGAAAGTGGCAGAGAGGAGAGGTGAGGTGAGGATTATGAAGAAGCAATGTGAACGGTGTAGGATGACGTGTCAGCTGGTGATTGGAAGGATGGGCTTCTGTTCGTATAATGACAATAATGTGGAAGTTGGGGCGGAGACTCTGATGTGGACCACATAAGTGAACCAAATAGAATAGTATTGCCACGTTTGATACGTTAGGGAGATGAGGAAGTCAACGAGCGTAGCTGGGTTGACTTTATTTGAGAGTGCGATTTTTTTTTAGGAAATGAGAGTGCGAAGCTAAGATACGTTTTCAATGGTATTGATTGAACAAGCGTGCTAATAATTAATAAAATATATTTATGTGCTCATTATTTAAAAAAGTATAAAATTTTAAAGTATGTATAATTCAAAATTAAATTATATGATTAAATATTAAAAAAATAAAATAGATAAAGTCATATGTCAAATGAACGACTTACTGCAAATTTAGATATGTTGAATCAATTATGATAGAAGCAAATTGCTTGGGGGGAGGGGGAAAAACCCTTTTTCAAGCTTTGATCATGGATATTTATTATTTAAATATTAATGCATTATTTGAATGATTATATATATATATATTAGTTATCAAAATTTTAATATAGTTCAATTTATTATATGGTATAATACAAGATACATTAATACATGTAAATTATCCTGTCTAACTTATTAAAGCAACATGCCAGAATAATTTTTAAAAATAAATTATTTTCAAAATCTAAAAGAAATTATTATAATTTAAGGAATTTGAATTAATATATCAGTAATATGAAAATTTATAATAATGTTAACTTATTTTTATTATAAAATTTCAATTAAATTCATTATTTTATTCAAAGATAAAATTGTATCATCTTATATTTTATTTATCTTATAACGTTAATAGAATTGAAATTTTTAAGTCAAAATATTCTAAATAAATTTTCATATTTACGAATATATCATCTAATTATTTATAATTATTTCTAGTATATCACCCATTTGAATATTTTTTTTTTTTACTTATTTTGTATGTCAACATCTAATTATTATGATATATAAGTCAAAAAAATTAATAGAATGGGATGGTTATTTTTAATTATAAACAAGGTTGTGAAAATCAGACTGAACAATGAACCGGATGAAGGATAAGTTCATGATTCCATTGGCCAAACTGGGGACTGGGGACGAACCAAATGATGTTTGAAATAATAATATTATTAAAAGTTAATAAAATTAACATAATAATATGACTATCTAACATTGATTTTAACAAATATTAAACTTAATCTCAGCACATTTGATTGATTTTAGTAAAACACAAATACAATTTGCATAGAAGATGTGCCTTTTTCTTTTTGAAATATAGAAGCAACTTTATTCCAAGCTTTTGGAAATGGTGCTTGGGCGAAATAGGGCATCGGCTGCTACAAAATTACCTAAAATATCCCTAACATAATTAATTAATATATTAAAATTTTGAGTGTGGGCAATTTCCTGAATGATTTAAACTCTCATGGTGCTCTTGTTAATGTACACTTACATTTATAAATCGACGATGCAAATTAATCATAATCTTCTAACTGAAAAATGTGATGTAGGCAAAAATTTCAAATGAGTATTTATTGGTGGGTTTTTTTCTTCTATTAAGCTTGGCCCATTTATCCTTGGCTGCTTGGTATTTGGAGTTATCAGCTGTTGGTTTTTTTGTCTGGTCGTGCCTCTCCTTGGTGGATGTTCGACTGTTGGATGCTCGATTCCTGAGCTGGCCGTGCTTTTTCTTGGTGTCTGTTGGGTGTTATGGCTGTTGGTTCTTGGGCTGACTGTTGGGAAGCTGGGCTGCTCAGTTCATGGGATGGCCGTGCCTTGTTCTTTGGGTTTTTTCCCTGTTTTGATTGGGTGAATGGGTGGCACTTTGTGGGAGGTTGTTTGGTTTCCGTTTTTTCCTATTGAAGGGGTTGTTTGCTGCTTTTTTAGAGTGTTATGTGATGATTTTTGGAATGAAATATTTGGGTTTTCAATTGCTCGAGAGCTATCCTCTTCGACTTCCATGTCTTCTTAAACTTCGTCTCAGATTTCTACCTACTTCTTCTCTCTACGGATTTGTATCTTTCTTATCTTTAAAAAATTATAAGTTGCAAAGTAGTTATGTTGTGTATTGTCCTATTGTAATGGCTTCTAAAAGTAGTTAGAAGCTTTGTTCTATCTTATTTAGTGTATGTTTTGTCATTTGGAAGGAATACAAAGTTTTTTTTTTTTTTTTTTTTTTTATTTTATATTTCCTAAATGAGGACGAAGGAAAATACAGCCATCTTGGCGTGAGTAATAAAAGTATTAGGTTGTAGTGGATTTTTCTTTCTTTGAGTCTTTAATAAAAAATGGAAAAATCATGATATAATAGAATCTATTTTTGACAAAAATCAGCCAAGTGATTTTGAAGTCTAAATTCCAACAAGCAAATGAGTCACATCCCAAGGAAACTCTACCAATTCACTCCAGAACAAGTTTTATAAAATTCAATTTTTTTTTTTTTTTTGTGCTGAAAAATCTGAGAGTAAGAAGCATTTACTTTTAGCCTAGTTTAATCGAGAAAAAGAGATGATCGTAAAGAAATATGTTGCTTTGATTTGGGAGTTGAATTTGGCTCAGTCTGCGCTTGATGGAGGTTCTAAAGTCATCTCATCAGGAGATGAGATTTCTCCATCAAGAGAGAATTGATGTAGGCAAAAATTTCAAATGGGTACTTATTTGTGGGCTTTTTTTCTCTTATTGGGCTTGGCTCATTTGTCCTTGGTTGCTTGGTGATTGGAGTTCTCAGCTAGCTGTTGTTTTTTTTGGCTCATCGTGCCTCTCCTTGGTGGCTGTTCGGTTGTTGGTTGCTTGGTTCTTGGACTGGCTATGCTTTTCCTTGGTGTCTGTTGGGTTTCCTAATTGTTTGGTTCTTGGGCTGACTGTTGGGAAGCTGGGTTGCTCGGTTCCTAGGTTGACCATGCTTTGTTATTTGGGTTTTTTTCCCTATTTTGATTTGGTGAATGGGTGGCACTTGTGGTAGGTTGTTTGGTTTCCATGTTTCTTATTTAAGCGGATGTTTGCTGTTTTTTTAGAGAGTTAAGTGATGATTTTTGGAATGAAACATTTGGGTTTTCAATAGCTCGTGAGCTATCCTCTTCGACTTCCCTATCTTCTTAAACTTCGTCTCAGACTTAAAAGCTTCTTTCTTCTCTCTATGGTAACTCTTTTATTTGTATCTTTTTTCTCTTTAAAAATTTGTAAGTTGCAAGGTAGTTGCGTAGTGTATTGTCCTAATATAATGGCTTCTAAAAGTAGTTAAAAGCTTTGTTGTGTCTTGTTTAGTGTGTATTTTGTCATTTGGAAAGAGGACAATTTTTTTTTTTGTTGCAATCTTAATTTTGTTTTTTTTTTATTGCATCAAAATGGTACATGGATTGCCAATAGAGACAAAAAAAAAAAAAACTCTTTTTTGATACAATTCATAGAATAGAAGAGAATATTAACAAACAGAAATGCTATGAATAATTTTTTTCTCAACTCATCTTACCAAGAAATCATTGTAATTTATCCACGTTTAATGTTTAGCATTAAGTACATAAGCAAAAATAAAATCTCTGTTATGCCAAACCTCATGCTTCATATTGAAAAAAAAAAAAAAAAACGTCAAAGAGATTTCAAATGGAAATGCCAAGGGTTGAGAGCGAGCGAAGATGGCTTCAAAAAATACCTCCAGGTCGGTCATTACTCAAATGCCGAAGATGAGGGCTTTAAATTGTAGAAAAATACTGATGAAGGTTTCGAAATGCTGAAGTTGAAGGGAAGATTAGAAGAACAAATGAGGAACAACCGAACGACTGAACGCGCGTCTGCTTCCTTTAGGGCAAGCTATACAACGATCCTTTTGACCTTCATCGATCGTTATACAACGATCCTTCTAAACTATATCGCTCGCTGACTACGGTCCTTCCGACCTCTGTCACCCGTCGACTATGGTTCTTCCGACCTACATCGCTCGCCGACTATGGTTCTGCTGCCCAAACAAACATGTCAACATTGATTTTTCCAACTCCCACTGTGTAATATACTATGTATGATGTATATTTGCCACATCAAGCTAAGACCTTCTTCTTAAGGAAGGGCCTTATTTTGTAATGGACATGGATTCATTCAAACTGGGTCAGACCCCCTGGTTTTTCTCACTTTTAGGGGTTTTCACGTAAAAACTCTGGTGTTTCTTATGATCGTTACACCCTCTGTTTCATCTGCTTGTGTGCTGGATATGGGTGTAAACGAGTCGATTTTTAGCATTATCAAGCTCAGCTAATTACTCGGAAAACGAGCTCGAACTCGAGCTCCTCAAACTATAAGCTCGATTTCTCATGCATCCGATTTTTTATTTTTCCCGTCCACTTCTTAATTTTCTGCGTGGCATCCCTCCAAATGGAGTTTTTATTTTTTTTCCCACCTAGGAATGGCTGCCAACTTTTTTTTTTTTTTGGAAATGAATGTCATCTGAAAATGTTGTCATAATGACAAGCTGCAAAGGACACTTTGCATTAATAAAAAGCAGAGCTTGGTATTTGGAGTTATCAGCTGTTGGTTTTTTTTTTCTAGTCGTGCCTCTCATTGGTGGATGTTCGGCTGTTGGTTGCTCGGTTCCTGAGTTGGCCGTGCTTTTTCTTGGTGTCTGTTGTTTTTTCTGGCTGTTGGTTCTTGCGCTAATTGTTGAGAAGTTGGGCTTCTCAGTTCATGGGATGGTCGTACCTTGTTCTTTGGGTTTTTTCCCTATTTTGATTGTGTGCTGGATAGGGGTGTAAAGGAGTCGATTTTTCATCACTTTTAGGGGTTTACACGTAAAAACTATGGCGTCTCTTATGAATGTTACACCCTCTCTTTCATCTGCTTGTGTGCTGGATAGGGGTGTAAATGAGTCGATTTTTAGCATTATCGAGCTCAGCTCATTACTCAGAAAACGAGCTCGAGTTGAGCTCAGAAAACGAGCTCGAACTCAATCTTGTCAAACTATAAGCTCGGTTTCTCATCCATCCGATTTTTTATTTTTCCCGTCCACTTCTTAATTTTCCGTCCCTTCAAATGGAGTTTTTATTTTTTTCCCACCTAGGAATGGCTGCCATCTTTTTTTTTTTTTTTGGAAGTTAATGCCATCTTAAAATGTTGTCATAATGACAAGCTGCAAAGGACACTTTGCATTAATAAAAATCTGCCTTCACTTGAAACGATGCAATGAAATTATATGAATTAACATTAAGAGCAAGAGACAACTCACCTTGGCATGTTGGTTGAGAGCTTATGCTTCAAACTAAGAGGTCTTGGGTTCGAGTCTTTGTGTATGCGTTGTGTGTGTGTGTGTGTTTGTCTTAAATGACCTAAATGTCCAAAAAAAAAAAAACATTAAAAGCAACGTTTGAATATAATATATAAGCCGACTGCCATTAGTTTCTTTAAAATACCCTAAATATTATCATTTCAAGCCGGCTCGCGAGCTCACGAGCCGAGCCTCATCAAGCTCGAACTCGAGCTCGAGTTTGAGCTCTCGATAAGCTCGGCTCACTTACAACCGTAGTGCTGAATCTTCGTACAATGCTAAGATGTTAAACTTTATCACTCTCTACCGCCGCGAATATTCGAGGACATAACAATCATTAAAATAAGGAATTTTTAAAGCTTCAATGTTTAAAGCAAAACACAAACAACTTCAAGAATTACAAGGTGATGTAGCACCCAACACAAACTCTTAGCTTTTAGACAAGTGTAACAACACAAAATTTTTTTTTCCATTTTTTTTATTGGGTCACATTATTGAGTAAACCAAGAAAAATAAAGACAAAAAACTAATCAAGCATAAATATATAAAAAAAAACATCTATGAAAAATATTTCCAATTAATTCAACTAGGCCTAATGGACGAATTAAATAATCTAAAAGAAACCTTAAAGCTGTATAAAGCTATTTACTCTATTTTAAAAATTAGGTCAGGTACGGGTTGACCTGGAAATTCGGGAATGACCCGCGTTGACCATGCCTGACCGAAGCTACTCGCACCGCTTCCCGAGGCAGCGAGGCCAATCTGCATCCCCACTGTCCCGGGTCGCGTCCGCGTTGGTCTGCCTGTCGCTCTGACCTGCCTGACCGCTGTTGACGCGTCGCATCTCGTCGTCCCCACTGTCCCAAGTGACGATGCTTGACAGATGCCACTGCGTTAGTAGTCGGCCCGCCACTTCCAACACGCCGCTGTCGGCGTTGTCGTGTCCCTGGGTCTAGTTGGAATTGGGTCTGAAAAACTGACCCATTTGCAAAAATAGTTCGGGTTGACCCGAATAGTGTCGATTCAGTTCCGAGCTTAAGATCTTGAGATCTACAAATATAAAAGTATTTCATAGAAGACAATTGAATTTTTATGTGAAGAACCCTCAAGGAAAAAGACCATAAAATGGCACGAATTGTTTCACTAGATTATAATTTTTTTTTTTAACATTGAAATATATTAATGATCTCAAGATCTTAAGCTCATTATATTTCTATCATCAAGTTGCTCATTTTTATCATAAGAATACATATATTAGATATTATTTGTATCGTTAAGCTTCTTAACATACTTCAAGTACCTAATTTAAGCTCATTAGATTTCTATCATCAAGTTGCTTACTGAAACTTCCAGTTTGACTATAAGTTTTGTTGAATCAAAGTTCGGATGATCTTGAATTTAATTTTTGTAAGTTTTAAATCTAAATATTGCATTGATATTTGTGCTTTATCAAACTAATTTTTTTTAGCGATTTATCATTTGCCCCCATATTTTAGAATATAAAAGTCAATGCTGTTGAAATCATAAATTAGGCCGTTAAAATTTTTTTTGGTGCAAAATTGTAATTTCGAAAAATTCTAAAGCATGAACAATTCTCAAATGTCAAGATGGACCTTCCATATGGGTAGAGTTCTCTCCAATTTCAAGTCTAGCTTTATATCCAAAACTTCTAGCTTCCACTCTAAATTCAAGATCAAACACCACCCTTCCTATAGAGATTGTGAGTAACATTTTCATCAGTCTAGCAAAATTTTCAAGGTACTCCTTCGGATGATCCGTATTTATTATTTCAATTATAGAACATTTTTTTAGTAATTAAGTGTCTTAATGATCTCAAAATTGAGTGATCTTAGGCTCATTGAATTCTTCAGGTCGAACTACTTGTTATAATCTTAAGCACACAAATATAGTTGAATTTTAAGTATTCTCTAGAAGTTTTCAACCACATTTTAAGTACCTAATTTGGGCTCATTTAAACTCAGATTAAATCGTTTTTGCTGTCAGTGAATTCTTCTAATCGAGACATTCAATTGGACTATAAGCTTTGTTAAAATCAAAAGTTTAGATAATTCTAAATTTAATTTTAAAAATTTTGAATTCAAATATTGTATTTACATATATGCTCAATAGGATGTATTATTTGATGACATACCAATTATAATTTGAAGTCAACATGACACCATACCTTGATATGAAGCACAATGATACAATTGAAGTCAAATAACTCCCAATAGGGACAATTGCTTCAAATTAGAGTGGCAAGCAATCTACGTCGTCGAACATGATCAGAAAGCCATACGATGTAGCTGGGATGATGGATCAACAAGATGAGGAGCGACAAACATAACAAAGCACAACACAATGCGCAGTTAAGATCGAGTCTTCGTTTGGGACAACTTTCTTACTACTTTCTAAAGCAGCTTTCTATTACCAAAATTTTCTGAATAAAAATTTTTTGTACTACATAGATATTTTAGAAAGCATTACAAAAATAATCCCAAATGAAGCCGGAATCATACAAGAAGAACGATAGATCATCAGGACTTGAATGGAGAGAGGAAAATGCAAGCAACTATGACTTTCAACGTAGTTTGATTCAAAGGGCCGGCAGGGCCGGCTTGCAGAGCATGAGAAGTCGTATTTGTTCTTTGACAACATCTACTAAATTGAGATTAATTTCTTCAATTCAACAAGCAACCAATACTTACACGAAATACTTAAACCTTTGCATTGATAGATCTTCATACAAACAAACATATTATATCATTTTTGTGATCAAATGGATCTTGATACATCAAGAAAATGCATAAATCTTCAGTAGATTATCTAAGAAATGTCATCAAATGGAATAATATTTGTCAACAATGCTTGCAAGGCATTGGCAAAGCTCATTTGGCTTAGAGAACATTGGCATATGATCTGCTCCTTCGATCTCCATAATCTCTTTCACAGTGCCATTATTCTGAATCATCCATCGCTGATGCTCCTTACTGATTAATGCATCTTCATTGCAGATAATATACATCTTATCGACAGATCCAAAACCTCCTTTTGCCAACAGTGATTTCTTCTTTAAATCTTCAGAAAAAGTTGATGTAGTTCTCATCATTACACTCGCCAGAGTCAGATCCTAACCATTCGTTACAGTTTTTGTTAGCTGAAACAAAGATGTACGTTCATCTTAAAGAAGTTTAGATAATAAGACAATTACCTCAAAGGAGCTGTTTTGATAAAGGTAGGTGGCGAGAAACTTGGAATCGAAACATATTGTAATCAAAGGTTCTGATTTTCCTGGAACCACGACGAGATTGATCTCAGGTTCTATCTTTCGATTCAGAAGTTGTTGAAATTGCTGTATTTTTTAAGTAAAGTAATATTAGAAATGCTTTTTCTATGGGTAATTAATTGAATAATTGCACTGGCCTGCTGTTCATAATATGTATTACCAGGTCGATAAAATAAGAAGGTTGATGAGTGGTATCAGGCAAAAACGCAGTAACGAAGACAGCAGCGGCGATCTTTTCAGGAAAGGCATCCATGGCGAAAGCCAAATTCAGACCGCCGAAGCTGTGACCGACCAAAATAATCTTTTCTCCTTCTGGAATTGTGGACATGAACTCAATTAACGGGCTGTTATAATCATCGAAGGTGGAGACGTCTTCAGGAATTTTTCTCGAATCAGCACCAGAAGCAGCAAGATCAATAGCTTTTACTGAATATCCCTTTGATAGAAGCTCAGCCATCACCTTATACCAACACCAAGCGCCATGGCTGGAGCCATGAACGAGAATGATTCTCATTGGTTTCTGATCACTCATTCTTCCTTTTTTTTTCAATTACTGGTGATTCTTGTGATAATATGTAGTTGATCAAGCCTTATAAGAAGAAAATTCAACATCTAAAACATTAAGTAATCTTAGAAAATCAATGGGCTTTGTCATTTAAAAACCTGCTCTGGTCAGCGACCTCCAGCTCAGGAAGAAGAAAAGATAATGTAAATGGCATCATTGATGATTCACAGGCTGTTCGGTCGAGTATTTCGAGGTTGAATGAACCAATTCTTGATAAAACGACAAAAGAGTACCATGAGACTGGCCAATTTTCCATGAACATAGCTAGCTGATAATATTGAAAAAAAAAATTCTCTAAGTGTAGGATATTTAATATTGTTGAAAAAAAATTATGTGAAAAGGAGAAATAAATGATGCCAAGAGCTTTCATGTGAGAAGAATATTATTAAAAATATATAAAAATATTAAAACTTAATCCCACGTTAGCTAGTCAAAAAATATGTTTGTATAAGAATATTATGTTGTTCACTCGCACTAAAATAATTTTTTTATTTTATCTTTGTATTAAAATGAGCTTAATTATGATTCTATTATGTTGAATTTCGATTCTTTTAGTTTTATGATCCATGATTCGTTGTGTTCGGGCACGAATCTCGAGGCACATCAAAGTTGTAAACTTTCAAAATTAAATTTGGGACCATCCAAACTCTAATTTCAATAAACTTATAATTAAATTGAATGTATTGAAGAGACGAACACAACGATGCCAAAATCGGTACAATACGAGCCCAAATGGATCTGAATTAAGAGTTTGAAGCATATTCAAAAGGTTCAAAACATTAATTGGATGACAACATGATATATGAATATGACATGCTTATAGTCGAATCGAGGGGCTCGGCAAGGCATAGGGACTTGCCAAAATTAAGTTTTGTGAATTATTGGATTAGTAATATTGAGATTTTCAAAATAATATGTTATGATTGCCGATCAAAGAAATTGCATATGGTGAATTTTGTCAATCCATCATCTATCCTAGGGGTGTCAAAATGGGTATTCGGATCGGGTTCAAGTCGAATTCGAAATTGACCCTGGTCCAATTCAGCAGGCCCGAACCTGATCCAGTTTTATAAACGGGTTAGAAATTCAAACCCAAGTCAAACTCATCAGGTTATCGGGTTGACCCGACCCAAGCCACAAGTATTGAGTGTGATAGCTTGCTGGAATCCATGAGGGCGGACTGCACAAGGGTCGAGCGGAACTGCGGGCAAGGGCTGACCGTGTGAGTGTCAAGCACGAGAGCGTGCAGGACTGCGGCCTGCGGGCGAGCTTGGATCGTGTGATCGAGCTCGACTGGCGAGGTTGAGTCCGCATTAATGCCGTGAGTTCGCCAGTGCACTACGCGGGTGTGTGATGCTTGTGCGACCTGAGATCGAGGGGGGACTCACCTACGCGCAGTCCAACAGTAATATGATCGAATATGCAATAATTTAACATAAAAAATTAGGGTTATAGTTTGGAGGAGGTCAAACTATTGAAGAGAGCACTGACATTTGATTTAAAAAATAACACCCATAATAATTTTATTGTTAGTATTAGTATTTTGAGCTCAAATTCTATATATATGGGACATAATAGTTTAAAACTAATATGATCGAATCTCTCAGACCGAATGATGGCATCTTTATCATTCCAACAGTTATCTCTGTCAAAGTATATTAAAAATTGCTCTTTTGTTTTAAATCTAAGTTTAGGCATAATAAAAATGATGGCTGTCATTAATAAAGTTCATAAATATGTAAGAATTCTTTAATTGTTGTGAAGGGCGAATTGCAATTGACCTCATTAATTTAGACAAAATTGCAAAGAAAAAAATTTTCATTTTTTATCAAAATTAAAATTAATTTATCTATTATTATTATTATTATAAAAAATAACATCTTATTATTTTAAGATTGTTATATTATTATTAAAAAATAACATGAACTTAAAATGACTTCTTAATAATTAGCGCTCAAGAATCAAACTAAAAGCTGAGTCTACAGCCACCGGATTTTATATAAAACATAATTTAAGAATTTGTTTGGAACAAATTTCTTACTATTTTCTAAAGCAATTTTTAGCATAAAATTTTCTTAAACAAAATAATTTTTATTAAAAAACAATTTTAAAAATCACTAAAAAAGCTATTCCAAATAAAACTTAAGAGCTGAGTTAATCACGGATATATGAAGCCCTCAGCTAGCGAAATATCTCTAAAAGCAAAATTAATTTTGCAAATCTCTGATTAATGATGAGACATCATGACTTTGAGAAAGATTGATCAACAATTAAATATATAATTAATTAAGATGAAGGCTTAATGACCAGGCTTTAATTTTTAATCAACTTGAAATGAAGAGGGACTAAACTATCATCCTTCTCTCCCTTTGTTTCTTAGAACCATGTAGAGAAGACAACCTTTATAACTTTTGCAATTAGAAAATCAATATCTATATGCAGATATTCAGGTGTGTGTTTTTATGCAGGGATTTTAATAGAATACCAATTGAAAAATATAAATTTTTTGGTATAAGGACAAAGAAGGGCCTAGCTTTAATTTAAAAAAAATAAAAAAAATTGTTGCATGCTGGTGTTCTAAGAAAAATATTTGATCAACTCTTTTTTTTTGTTTACTTAAATTAATCCACCCCTTGTATAAATGAAAAAAAATTCACACACAAATATTCCCCTTGGTACATCAGCAAAAAATATTCTCAATCAGGCACGAATCTCGAGGCATATTCGAATTGAAAACTTTCAAAATTAAATTTGGGATCATAATAAACTTATGGTCAAATTAAACGTTTCAATGATATGAACTCAATGACACCAAAATCGGTACAATCTGAGTCCAAATGGGCTCAAATCAAGAGATCCAAACATATTTGAAAGCTTCAATTGGAAGATGAAATGATCTCTAAATATGTCTTGCTTATAGTTTAATCGAGCGACTTGACGAGACAAACCCAACAAACCTAAGACCACTTAATTCTAACATCATTAAGACATGTAAATGCTAAAAAATTGTTTTATGATTGAGAGAATAAATATGGGCCGTCCGTAGAAGAACTCTGAATTTGCTCAAGATCTTCTCCATTTTTAAGAAGTATGTTACGATCAAAATTTATAAATAGGCACCCTCTCCCTACATGAAGGAGACCTTTGGAGGTCGGGGCTTTGGGATCTAGAGATTCAAGAGAGCCTTAAGACCAAGGCTTTTAAAACCGGACCGGACCGGCCGGTTCAACCGGTTGAACCGCGAACCGGGATAAACCCGTTCGAACCGGCGGTCTGACCGCCGAACCGGTTCCGATTTCTGATAACCGGCCGGTTCGGATCTAGATCCAACGGCAGCGATTTGAGGAGGGAAAGCTAATACGCGGAGATGAAAAAAAAAACCCTCATTCGCATCCCGCTTTCGCATCCCGCTCTCGACTCTTCGGCTTCGAGCGACAGAGGAAAAAAAAAATCTCATTCGCAGCTCTGGACTCACCGTCTCCATTCTTCTCCTTCGCGAATCAAGAAGCCCGTAAACCCTCGATGTCTGACTATCACCACAAGACTTTCACAGGTCAATCGTCGCTACACATACACTTGGCCACTGCCACTGGTCGTTAGTCAGGCTTTCACCGCCAGACCTCTGCCCGACCATCCCCGTCAGACCTTTATTTGTCCATTGCTATCTAGTTTATGTTGCCCGATCACGATCCTTTCGACCTCTGTCACCCATCAACTATGATATATGTATCACAATCACCCAATTACAATCCTCGTATCTTCATCGCCAAATTACGATACTTGGATCACCATTATTTGACTACTATCTTTGACTTCCATCTCTTGTCGATTACAATCTGCAGACCACCATCGCCTGACTACAATCCTCATACTACCATCACAGACCATAATCCTTCCAACTTTAGTTGCCCAATTACAACTCTTCGATCATGTTTGCCCACTAATCATAGTTCTTCTAACCTCTTTTGCCCTCCGGCTACGATCCCATCGATGACTATCGCCCGTCTATAGTCTCTCTAACCACTGACACCCGACTATGATCCCTCCGACCATCATTGCCTAACTACAATCCATTAGACCTCAGTTGTCCGACTATCATCCCTTTAACCACCGTCTCCTGATTACAATGCTTTTGACCTATGTCACATGACTATGGTTCACAGAACAACATCTCCAAACTACGGTCCTAGTGATCACCATCGCTCTATTACAGTCCCTCTTGCCATCGTCATCCGATTATGATCCTCCTCAGCCTCCATCACCATCCGACCAAAATCCCTTCAACCTGATGATCAGTTACCCGACTACGGTCCCTCGGACGCCTGACGCGAAACTACAATCCCTCTAACTTTAATCGCCTGCCAACTATGATCCCTCCCACCACCTTCGCCCAACTGTGGTCCTTCGACCAATGTCATTCTCCTACGATCCTTCCGAACCTTCTGAACATACAAACATGCCAACGTTCTCTTAAGAACAACTCTCACACCACATTTGGATTCTTTGAACTCCAACCATGTAATATGCTTTATATGATACATATTGTTACATTGTGCCAACACCTTCCTCCAAGGAAGAACAAATTGTAATCAACAATAAATATTAATGGAATCATTTTAACTAGGCAAGACCCATAGTTTTCTCTTTTTTTGATTTTGCATATAAAAATCCTGATGTTTTGTGATTCTTGCACCTCATTTATTTTTATTTGTGTTGGATCTTCATACAAAATTAAAACTTTAAAACTCCGTATCTCTCAACCAACTCGAATGTTCTGGCACATGTACTCCCCTCAGAAGTCACCGAGTCTATTTTAGCATTTGAGTCAAATTTTCAGATAAACGGTACTTGCTAGTGATGATCTCAAATCAATCAAATCGAGTTCTAGTGTTAAGTTCTAAAATTATTTAAATAAATTAAGTTAAAAGTTTGCAAAATAAAACAGATAAAATGTTTTTATGAAAGGTAGAGGAAGAAAGTACGAAGTTTGTACTGAGCTATTTATTTTTAAATTTGGCTTTAAGAAAATCCATATATGACATGATAAATAACATATTTATACTAGTAAATGGAAGATTCAAAATTCAACTTTCAACTACTTCATACCATTTAGAGATTTCTACAATATATATTTTTTAGATAATCATTGCCTCATTGATTTTTTATTTATTCTTCCAAACAGGCATACAGTGAGAGATAAGAGTACGGGTTTGTTTGGGACGGTTTTTTTCCTGCTTCTTAAAACAACTTTTTAGTACAAAAATTAAAAATTTTGTACTAAAAAATTGCTTAAAGAAGTAGTAAAAAAAAAAAACCGTCCCAAAGACAATCGAAGTTGCATATTCATATGCTAAAATATAAATCTGCATAGTATTAAAGTGCTTAATGAACAAGCACCAAATGTTCATCACCTCTTCTTATTCTTAGCAACACCAGACAGTGATCACTTAGCATACTTGTCAACAATGCCTGCAATGCATTGGCACAGCTCCTTTGGCTTTGAAAGCATAGCCATATCATCGGCTCCATTAATTTCCATCACCTCTCTCACCGGATTGTTCTGAATCATCCATCTTTGAAAATCTGCACTGATTGAGGCATCGTCGCCACAAACTATATAAATCTTATCGACAGATCCATAGCCTTCTTTGGAAAAGGCTGATTTCTTGCTCAGTTCTTCGTGGAACAGTGATGTTGGCCTCATCATCATACTCGCCAGAGTCAAATCCTGATAATCAGCTCATACTCACCATATTTTTCTCATAAAATATTTACTCTGTACGTAAATGTTACAATTTTTTTTTTTTAAAGAAGAGAGATTTTGGCTACGTTGGGATGGCTTCTCGATCTTAAAACAATTTTTTATATAAAAATTTAAATTTTTACATTAAAAACTGCTGTAAGAAGCAGCAAGGAAGTCGTTTCAAAGGAAGCCTTTTATCTTAAGAAGAATATGTTTAATTACCTCGAAGGTACAGTTTTGATAAAGGGAGGTCGCCAGGAATTTGGGATCCAAGCAGGTGATATGCAATGCGTTGGTGCTTCCTGGGATTATGACTTCCTTGAACTCAACATCTTTGTATGTTTCGGGTGACCGTTCAAAGTGCTGCTCGCTCAAGCAAAATAACTAATTAGTAAGCTACAAATTAGAGGTGTCAATATTTGACACGACACGAAATCAGACCCGTTCCGACCCGTTTACATACCCGGGACGGGTTAGAGTCGACCTGTTTGAACCCAGGTCAGTTCCGGGCTCGACCCAAACCCGACTCGAAACCTAATTTTAACACCCCTACTACAAATCATATGTTCGTAAACTAGTAATTAGCAAAACTGGCATAATAAATTAAAACCTGATCAAATATATAAGAAGGTGGATGGTTAGTGTCAGGCATCATTGCCGATACAAAGACTGCAACGGCTATCTTTTCAGGAAACTTATCCATGGCTAAAGCTAAGCTTATGCCACCAAACATGTGCCCAACAAGAATGATTTTTTCATCATCAGGGACTTTGGAAATCAAGTCAATCAACGGTTGGGAATAATCATCAAAATTCGTGACATCTTCAGGCAGCCTTCGTGGATCAGCACCACAGGCTGCGAGATCAATGGCTGTAACTTCATAGCCTTGATTTCTCAGTATGGAGACCACCTTGTACCAGCACCAAGCTCCATGGCAGGACCCATGAACAAGAATGATCCTCATGGATTGGCTTCTGCTCATCTTAATCTCTCTCTCTCTCTCTCTCTCTCTCTCTCTCTCTCTCTCTCTCTCTCTCTCTCTCTTCCCCCCCTCTCTCTATTTATATACTATTCGATCACCAAGGAAAAATTATTACATGCTGCGCGCTCGGATTTGTCTGGAGGCGAATCCGAACACGCCACGTCACCCGGAACCGGTGCATCCGGGTGATGTGGTGCATCCAAATTCGCCTCCGGTGGATTCAGACGCAGCACGTAATAATTTCTCTTCAGCTAGGCAGGCCATGGAAGTGCTGTTAAATGTTCAGTTAACTTTCTCGTTAACTTCAATGCATGTAAAGGGTAGAAGAATCAGAAAGGCGATTATTACGATGTAAAAATTGGAGTCAACAGAAAGCTCAAAACATTGCATTCATTCTCTGTTGTCCATTTGCTCCCAACATACTGTCGGTACTATGTGTACATGTTTGCATTTATGAATATATGCATAAGAAAAATAGAATGATCAGCATAAATCTAAAAAGAAATAATTGACCTTAAAATAATTAAATTGGGTGATTAGCCGGTTAGTTAATAAATGAATTGGGTGATTAGCCGGTTTCTAGCCTAAGGTTTTATTTTGAGACAACTTTCATGCTGCTTTATTTTTTTATATCATAATCATATTTTTTTTTGACACAAATTTTTCGAGCTTTCAAAAAAATTTTATAGTAGGAAGCTGCTTTATGTAACAATTTTTAAAAAGTTATTTTTTCACAATAGTTTTATAAGTTACGATCATCCCTAATGAACCTTTTTTTTTTTTAACAAAATTTTATATATTAAAAGACAACCAAAAGGATACAACAGCAAAAAGAAAATTAAAACAGACAAAAGACAACAATAAGGAAAAAATAAGCTAAAAGCGAGCTCAGAATTTGGTCAAGGCTCCCAACGTCCCAGTCATCCCACACGGACCCTCCAGTAAAGTGTAAGCAAAGAACCATCGAACCATCCCGAACAGCACACCATGAAACGACATGCAGCAAGACGGAGAAGACGAAGCGGCTAGGGCAAAAGCCCTAGCCATCCTCCGGGAGCGCAAGCGTGACAGAGAAAAGGCATTTTTTTTTATCCCTAATGAACCTTAAGGCTTTGTTTGGGATGACTCTATCACTGCTTTGCTTTTAAAAATGCAACCATAGTTTTTATTTGATCAGTGTTTTTAAGAATTTTTTGTGCCAAGAAGATTCTTTTTTGCAACAACTTTCAAAAAAGTTACCTTCTCCATGTTAGTTATGTCTGGAATCTCATTGTGTTAATCAATTGAGTTGTACTATATTACCTCTCCTCTAACCCCTTCCTGCTCTACGCTTCTAATAATCAGGAAGACTACATGGTCCTTAGGGACAATATAAGGGTCATCACCCCTCCTACAAACACGCTATGGATTCTCATAGGTGATTTCAACTGTTGTAGGCTCTCCTAGGATAAAACGGGTGGTAAGACCCTTTAGCATAGCAGGTTAGCTAATTTTAACACATGCAAGCTTAAGGGAATTAGCTTCAGTGGAGAACTTTTACACATGGTATAATCGACGTCTTTATAATCCTATCCACGTTAAGCTTGGTCGTGTTTTGGTGAATGATGCTTAATTGGAAGGATAGTTTTCCCTCTTCTTACTATTATACGAAAGTTTTGTCTTGCTTTGACCCTTTCCCCATGGTCTTACAATCGGGTTTTGAGGTTCATAAACATCATGGATTCCTATACAAAAACTACTAGGCAAAGATTGATGCTTTTTTGGAATATGTTTTTCTCGATTTTTTCCTCCCCTGTTGTCGGAAACCCTTGAGTAGGGGTGTCAATATTTGACACGACATAAAAATCTGACCCGGACCCGACCCAAAAAATTTGGGTTGGACCCGACCCGATTTCAAAACAGGTCGGGTTCGAGTTGACCCGACGGGTTGCCGAGTCAACCCGAAAAGCCGTTTAATTTAAAAAATTAGGATTCCCGCCCGCTGCCGGCATCAAGTCCATGGAGCTTAGAATGAGCATTAAATCTAAGAGTCAGGCCAACTCCAATATTGTTGCTTCTCATTTCTCTGACCTGTAAGATAAGCAAGCAACTTGTATAACTCAACTTGAAGCTGATGAACCCATGAATTTGGGTTTAAATACTTGCTTGAAGCATGTAAACCATTGTGTTTTTTATTTCTCTAGTATTTGGGCCAATTAAATTATTCAAAGAGCAAAGGCTAGATGGTTAACAAATGGTGAAGATGATCTGAAATTCTTATATTCCACAATTCGTATGTGCAGAAACTACAAAAGCTCCTCCATTTATTTGGCCTTAGCGGGTTCTTCCTCTTTTGTTGATGCTACTACCTCTATAATTAACCATTTCCACTTTATAATCCCCTACCGCCCCTCACGCGGATGTTAGCAACTTCCCACATGGTGATACTCTCCCTACTAATCTTGCAGCCTCCCTCACATTGCCTATTAATGGATCAGAGATTAAAAATGTTATTTTCTCTGGCTCATCTCTATCTTCTCTAGGACCTGATGGTTTTAATTTTGATTTCTACAAGGCAACTTGGTTAGTTGTGGGGTTGGCTATCTGTAAAGCGGTTAAGTTTTTTTTTTCCAATAATGTTACATGTCAAAAGGTGTTAAGGCTACTGCACTTGCCTTAATCCCTAAAACTAGCCATGCCAACACTATTCATGATTTCTTCACTATCTCACTATGCAATGTCATCTACAAAATTATAGCTAAAATTCCAACTGCAAGAATGAAACCCCTCATGCCTGCTATTATCAAAGAGAATCAACTAGGTTTCATTCACCAGAAGATTTCCACTGATAATGTCATTCTTGCTAAGGAAGTTTTACGTCTTTCTAGAAAATCTTCCAAGTTTAAGCTTATGTGTGCTAAATTGGATATTTAAAAAGCTTTTGACAACGTGTCTAGAAAATTTTTGTTAGAAAGGATGAGTCAAAAAGGTTTTCCCTCCCTTTTCATTCAACATATTAGAGCCTGCATTACGGATGTACTCTACTCTGTTTGCATTGACAATACTCTTGAATGTTTCTTTAATACCAACTCTAGCCTCGGGCAAGGGTGCCCGCTAAGCCCATATCTCTTCTGCATTATGATGGATGCTTCCTCATGCCTCCTTGATAGTGAAAGCTACTTTGAGGGTCTCTCTTTGGATGACTACAAGCTTTCTCATCTCATGTATGCTGATGACTTGCTCATTTTTGGTAGATTCTATGTGCAAAATTGCTCAAATATAAACCAATTGCATTCTACCTTTACCAACTTCACTGGCCTCAATGTTAACTGCAAAAATAAAAAAATAAAAAAATAAAAAAACTGTATTATTCTCCCCCCTCTTGCCCTAATCCATTTGTCATTTCCTCCACCAACAATATCCATGTCCACCCACATTATCTTAACTACCTTGGCATACCTATATCCTGACTTAGAACCAAACTATCTGATTTCTCCCCTCTCTTGGATACAATTAATAACAAACTTTTCGGTTGGAAAGCTAAATTCCTCGGATTCACTATTTATAATTCAATTGCGTACTGGATTAGGTGTTCTATTATACGTAAATCTACCCTCAAATTCATCAACAAACTTTGTGCTAAATTTCCCTTCCTTGGTAACCTTGAGGCTAGGAACATCATCTCATTTCTTGGTCAAACACTTGCCTTCCTAGAGATAAGGACGACATTGCCCTCTGTCCAAGCCATACAATACAATTACAATTGCTCTCTTATCTTCAGGTTGTACAAGACAACCTCCTCTCTTATCTTCAGCTAGAGCTAAGTTCCAATTTAAGATTTCTCATACCAGTCCCATCTCTGTTTATTAGGATCTCTGGCCTTATGGGACTGCTTTGTTTAAGTTACATGAATTTTCATTAATTTGGATTTTTTTTCATATCTAATGATTGTATCTCTGCAATCATTAATGATTAGGGTTTATTTTTACCTATGGAATTCCTTACAGCCTTAGCTCATGCTTTTTGGTCACGGGGAGTTTTTTGTGCTGCTCTCCCACTTACTTGTAATCCTCTTTTACTTGTAATTTCTTTTCATTTTTATGAATGAGAAGCCTAACTTTATCCATAAATAAATAAAAAATTCTGCTAAATAGTATTATTGATGGTCATAAATAAATCAAATCGACAAGTTCCAAGCAGAAATCTAGATCTGGTCTTAATATAATATAAAAAATTATTTAAATTGGCTAAGACTATTTAGGTTTTGTGAAATGAAGTTGATAGAATTTCTACACGTCTGTTGCTTGCCATTACCATCAGGTTCAGGGAGGGGTGTAAGCGAGTTGATTCGAGTCGACTTAAGTTTAGGTCCTTATCAAGCTCGGCTCGTTAGTTGGAAAGCGAGCTCGAGTTAGTCTCACTGTAAACGAGTTTGAGCCGGCTCGCGAGCGATGGAAGGGATTTTTAAATTTAGGCGAGATTTTTAAAAATTAGGCGGGATTTTTAAAATTTAAGTGGGATTTTTTAAAACTTAGTCAAAATTTAGAAAAAAAATATGAAATGTTTAACATTTAAATAAAACTTGGACGCAGAACGTCGTCCGGAGATCAACTAGAATTAATGCGCCACGTCAGCAGTACAGAGCGGTACCGAACAAGGGGTGACGTGACACATTGTGATTTGTTTCCGGACGACGTTCGACGTCTGCACATAATAATTAAACCAAAAGATGCGTCCCTAGCTCCAAAGGCGATGTCCCCATGTTTAAAGGAAAAAAAATCTAGAGGGTTGGAAAAATGTAACTGAAAAACTTATTTTTATTATTTAAAAAAAAAATAAGTTTCTATTATTCACTAGTATGTTGGAATAGCAACTCTGATTATCAATCAAGAGATCTTGAATTCGAATCTTATATATTTGATGCATATATGAATTTATCTTAATATAAATTATTACTTATTGGGTTCAAAATAACCCGAAAGAGCAGCCCACATGTATAAAAAAAAATGTATAAAAAAATGAATTACTGTAGTGGGTTATAGACACTTAACTGAAAAATTATTTTTATTTAAAAATAAAATAAAGTTTCTGTCATTTTCCCATTGAGCTCATAGATCATACAATATATATTATTAAAATCAACACATGAACAGAAGTCATCCTAAATTCTTATGTTCAAACAAAACATAGTCTACGAATATTATATTTCGTGTAATTCTGCAACTTTTGTGCTTATATTTTTAGTATTTAGAGATTTATTCGTTCGGAAAGGCTGTAATATTATTTCTTAAAATATTTTTTAATATAAAAATTAAAATTTTAACTAAAAAATTGTATTAAAAAAACAGTAAGAAAACAATCTTAAAAACAAGACGAATTATTCTGTGCGAACACCAGACGAAGAGAATCATCCAAATTTGCTGGGCTTTTATTGTTCTTTTATCGTGCTTCTATAAAAGTACAGTAAAAATGCATTCATAATTGAATATTTGCTGACGTTTTACTATGTTTTTTGATGCCCTTCTGAAAAAAGCAACAAATCCTGACGGTTCTTTCTGTCCGGCGTCTTCACAAAATAATTTATCAACAAGGCCTTAAAAATTGCGTCAAAATTCACATGATATAGATGCGATGAAAATTTTAAAATCATATCAGTTATGCTATCTATTTCTTTTTTGTTACAAACAAAAAAAATAAGCAGATCCTTATAAAAAAAAAGATCAAAATGAACACAGATCGTTTCCATTAAGAGCAACAATCAGAAGACTTCCAAATCAATCTCTTCTCACTGTTAAAAGACGACGATACATTTAAATATATATTTATTCATAATGCCCCCCGACATGTATTTCACACATAAATTAAATATTATGCAGATAGATTTATATATATTTATGAAGAATGGTTATGAGGTGTTTGCAAAGTTCCTGAGGCCTCGAAAGCATGACCATATGATCTGCCTCAATCTCCATCACTTCCTTAACCTGATTATTACTAATCATCCAACGCTGGTAATCTTCAGTAATGGCTGCATCTTGCTTGCAGACGATGTATACTTTATCAACTGAGCCATATCCTTCTTCAGAGAGAATGGGAGCCTTCTTCAGATCCTCTTGGAACAGTGATCCAGTTCTTATCAGTGCATTTGCCAGAGCCAAATCCTTACTTACCAGTTACCATTAAAAAAAATTATCATTTGCAGAATTCGAAGAATAAAAAACCACAATAATCTTCATTAATTAATGATTCACCTCAGGAGCACAAAGTTGGTACAGATGCTTTCCCATGAACTGAGGGCCAAACAACATTGTGATGAATGGTTCTTCTCTTTTTGGAACTCTCACCTCTTCGAATTCAGTATCCATCCATGCAACAGCTGAAATAGACTCCCCAAGCTGCTTTTGTCACACATGAAAAGGTTAATTTTTCAGCAGAAAAGTAATCAGCAGAAACTATATTTCTGGCATTTTTCGTCGGAAGAACAGCCGGAAATATTTGTGGCGAAAAAAATTGCCGGTGTTGTTTTCTGACGCGATATTTCCGGCGTATTTTGATTGTCATACCTTACTAAAAACAGATGGAGGGGGAGAAAGAGTATCTGGCATGAAAGCAGATACGAAGACAGCAACGGCTATTTTTTGAGGAAAAGTTTCCATAGCGAAAGCCAAATTCAGTCCTCCTAAGCTATGACCGACAAGGACGGCTTTTTCTCCTTCTGGAAGTTGAGCCAAAGTTTCCATCAAAGGCTGGGAGTACTCGGCGAACGTGAAAACATCTTCGACCATTCTCTTTTTGTTGATGCCCGATGCGGCAAGATCTAATGAGAGAACAGAATGGCCATCGGAGCGCAGAGCGGCCTCCACTTTGTACCAACTCCAAGCTCCATGACAAGCACCGTGTACTAAGATGATTTTTAGTTGCTGCTCTGGAATCATCTCTGTTTGGCTTCTTGAACGAGGAAGAAGATGCTTAATGAGAGAGAAAGAGAGAGGGAGGAGATGGAGAGAGTAGCTGCAGGAATTTCTTATTCCTTATTCAATTCAAATGGGCTTTGCAAGAGGGTACCCACACCTCTCAATTTATAGAGAGATTATCTGTGCGGACACCGGACGGGAGAACCGTCTGGTTCACGTTCAGTTACCGAGTTATACCGAGTACCGAGTATCACTCTGTATAAGCTCGATGCTGGACGTGACGCATTTTTATTGGGAGCTGGAATCGGACATAATAATTTTTTCAATTTATAACAATAGGAGGAACAACCATCTTAAAGCCGAACAAATATATAACAATTTCCTCCTACGTACACCTCTCATTCTCTCGAGAAATTATTGTGTGCGGAATCCGAATGCATTCGGATTCAAATCACTATGCGCCATGTCACTGGATGCACTGGGCCCCGGAGTGTATCCGCTGACGTGGCAAAGGGTGATTGGAATCCGAACGCACACAATAATTTCTCCATTCTCTCTTTTTCATTGATAATCAGAGCTACAAACTAGCAGATTAGCGTGAGCTGCTTCTTTTTGTCCTTTGAAAAATCTAAAGCTTTTGTTAGTTTATGTGGAAAAAACGGCATGTATACTAACCAATTAATTAGGTCCCCTATTTCACCTTCTCTTCCTTCTTAATTTGAAGCACGAGTTAATTTTTGAAAAAATAAAAATAAAAAAAAGAAAATTTTCTAAAAAAAAATTGCAATAAAAAAATCCCAAAGAAGCACATGCTTTTGAACGGATGCAATTATTAGCTATGATTAATCAATTATTTCTTCTTTGTGTAATTTGTCCTATTTGCACCGGATAGATTTAAGTTTTGTTTGAGACTGTGTTTTTCGTGCTTCTTAAAATGATTTTTTAATAAAAAATTAAAAAATTTATACTAAAAAATTACTTTAAGAAGCTATAAAAAAGCACTTCCAAATGAAGCCTAAGTTTCTACGTACTCTTTTTTATTAATTAAAGTTAAGCTCTGAATCTCATTTCTCATAAAATTTTTAATTGATTAATAATCAAACATGAGTGCTATTTACCTCATTCAAATGAAAATAAATCCTGTATTTACATATATACCTACCAAAAAATTTTATAAAAAAATTACTTTAAGAAGCTATAAAAAAGCACTCCCAAATGAAGCCTAAGTTTCTACGTACTCTTTTTTATTAATTAAAGTTAAGCTCTGAATCTCATTTCTCATAAAATTTTTAATTGATTAATAATCAAACATGAGTGCTATTTACCTCATTCAAATGAAAATAAATCCTGTATTTACATATATACCTACCACTGAACTCTTTATATGCAATATTTAAAATGTCTTATATACTTATCTATCATGGTAATTTATGACATATAAATACAATCTAAATTATGAAGGAACTTTCCACACTATCCATGATTGTAATACCTGACCTAATTTTAGCCATGAAAATGATATAATAGAGCTATAATCTCCTGATCATATAAGTATAGAACTTGGTCTTTCACTGTTACTCGCATCCTTATTAGAATGTATGAGATTATAAACTAGAGGAAGATTGTGTGGTTACTATCACTCGGATGAACATGGTAATTCTATCTATTTCCTTAAGTGGGGAGAAAATAACTACGAGTTCTGCACCTCTGGGGCTGGTTATTGGTAGGTTTCTACCGACTGTTGTCAGCTGAGAGCGGCTGTGATCAACATCAAGAGGTTGGCGGTGATGGCGGTGGTGGCTGACAGTAGGAATGATGGTAAGTTTCCATTGTATTTGTAAATAACCAAAAGTAGAAGAATTCCAAATACATCAGATTTGAACTAGACGATGAATTAATTACTTTTAATTGAAAATTTTATTTAGTATTCCTTGTACTTCAAACTAAACACTAATATTTGTATTCCTTGTACTTCAAACTAAAGACTAATATTTCTAAACTCTTGCATTTGAAATAATTTACACCGCTTTTATAACAAACCAAACATCCCTTCAAATTTAGATTGTAATATGAAAATAAAAGAAAACACATGTTAAACATTAAATTTAAAAAAAAATTAAAATTTTAACCAAATAAATTAAAACAATTATACAAAACGCCTCTTCTATAAATTAAAAAAAAAAAACTATTCCTTTAATTTTATGAATTCGCACGTTCCTTCTTAAGTAATTGCCCATCTTGTTATTTCTAGGTCAAATTAATAAAAGAGAAGAATCGATAATAAATTTAATGAGGGGATCTTGGCCCTAAAAATTTGGAGAAATGATAAGCCAACAAAATAGTTGGGTCTACCTAATGCTTATATTCCTATTTCGGCTAAGATTTTTTTTAATCAATTAAGTTAGCTAATAACTACATGATATATTTATATTACATACTTATTTTATAAATAGAAAATAAAGTCATTTTAGTTTTTTTTTTTCTAATTTTAAATAATATGCTTAGATTTTAATTTTCATCCAATCTCTTTATATAAATTAAAGAAAAAAAAATTGTAATATACAATTTTAATCAAAATTGTGCCGGCATTTACTCACAAATGTTTTTCGGCACATTCAAATTTCATGCAGAAGGCATACCCTACAATATTTAGGAATGTGAATTTGCATTCAAGTCCCTTAAAACTTGGAAATTTTTTCCTGATTAAATTAAATTAAATCAACAAGCTTAATAATAATAAACTGGACAGCTTTTTTTTTTTTCTTAAAAAAAATAAAATAAAATAGTTTTTATTTGATCTAAATGCACATAAACCTCAATCTGTGCAGTACTTTATATTATTTTACGTCACATAGGAGAAAACAAATTTGTTATGGCTTCCCTTCCTTGAAAGGTGCTACAAAAGCCTTAGAAACGTTGACGAGGAAAATCTCATTCTGGTATTAAGATATGGTACATCGCACTTTATTTTATTGGTCAAAGAATCAACCAAATAAAAAATATAATACTATTCACCTTATTTTTATTGATAGTGTAAACATTTTGGATAAGGATAACTAGGCTTAAATTAATGAGGATTTTTAATAATTATTATATTTATTTGAAGAAAAATATAATTCATAACCAATTAATTAAAATTTATATTACATTCATCTACAAATAAATCCAATGATCATTAAAGTCCTCCATGCTAAAATTGAATAAGCAACTCCAAAATTTATCAGTATTGTAAGCTCTATGTATCAAGATGAATTTGATGGCACTCACTATGCAGTTATTACTTATTAGCGTATATTTTCTGGAAAAAAACCAATATATTGCAAATCAATTAAAGACACATCAGAATGTCAAAAATTACCAGCTACCATCCATTGTCAATCGCCACCGCTCGCATTGTCATAGGGTAAATTATTGGGTCAGGTCACCAGACGTGTTTAAAGCCCAATGAAAATACGCCACATCACCTCCTACTCGATACTGCTCAGTACCGAGCTCAATACGGCTCGATACTCAGTACTTCACAGTACTGTGAATACCGAACGTAAGCTATGTCTGATGACTTGATCCAATAATTTCCCTTGTCATAGGCTGCCACTCACCACTCACCATCTACCTCAACCACTATCCTCGCCATCGACCACCTTCATTTAACTATTATTCCAAATACACTCTATTACATTTTACTTTTCTTCAAGACAAATAAAAATAAAAACTCTCGCATTTGTAATATACTCTACCAAACAAGTGAAAAATATTTTCAAAATTTACAATATAAATAGCCTCTCAGTATAATCAATGTCGGTAAATCATGAGAAATTATTCTGTGCGGAGGCCAGATGCAAAACACTGTTCGGAGACCAATCAGAATGCACAACAACAACAGTAACAAGCCACGGTACCGAGCTATGGTACCGAACAAAAAGATGACGTGACGCATTCTGATTGATTTCTGGATGACGTTCTGCATCCGCACAGAATAATTAATCGTCAATCACAGGCTGTGATCCATCATCCAAAACAACACTCACATCTTCCTGAGTTCAAGCTAAAATAAAATCTAACATAGTTATTTCCACCGACCACAAATAGGCTGCATATAATTTAAAGAGCGTTCGAATGTATTTAAAAGGCTAATAAAATCCTTCCATCAAACTTCTGTATAATCTTATATGGCGAACATTCTCCAGAAGCCTTAACATGCTACTTTTATCTTCTTCAAAGCATCTCATCTCATGGTTTAGCTTCAAGAATAATTGAAGAATATGGCGCCATATTATACACAGATCCATTGAATAACTCTCCTTCAGAAACAAAATCTTTAGGGGATTCAAGATTTGTGTCTACCTGCAATTTAGAAATTTTTTGAAGTAATTTAAGGAGAATATTTTATTTCATTACACATAGAAGGATTGATTAGAAGGGGATCATACCACTCTGTGCCATCGTTTACCATTTGGTGGTGAAGGAACTGCAATTTTAGTGAAATAGTCATGCGCATTGAAAGCAACATAGATATCTCCTCCAGAATTATTATTATCATGGAGTCTGTGGAAAAATAAAAAACAAAAGATTCGAGTTATGTTAATGCATTAGGAGCAGTATAATAGGTCTTTTGACCATTCTAGCGTATCAAAATGGCTACAAATAGCAATGGATGGAAAAAAGATCCCTCACGTGAATGCTAGGAATCTGCTATCAGGATTATCCCAGCTGTCCTCATGCCAACTCACGTCATTCTGCATGACAAAAACCCATTAATGATGAGTGCTGAAGCATAATATGTACACACACAATATATGCTGGTCTCAAATCCAAGTAAAATCCTGCTTGATGGGCTTAGGCTGCAGTTGGAACTGCTTTTTTACTACTTTTTAAACAGCTTTTTACTGCTTTTTAAAATATTTGAAGTAGAAAGCCGCTTTAGAAAGCAGTCCCAATGAAGCTTGAGTTTCTCAGCTAACGAACTACTCGTGGATTGGGAAACAATGAGAAAATTGATATTGAGATATTCTAACAAGGTGGGACTTTTAGATTGCTTCAATAACTATTTCCTAAGATCTAGACTTCAAATTGAGTTGAGACTGTTGAAGATTACGGTTTCGTTTGGGAATACTTTCTTAATGCTTTCAAAAGCAATTTTTTAGTACAAAATTTCTAGTTTAAAAAATTTTGTACTAAAAACCTATTTTAGAAAACAATAAAAAGCAATCCCAAGTGAAGCCGAAGCTGATCTCAATGCCAGGTCATTTGGGGGGATCATGCCAAGAAAAAAATTAGTTGAGAATATCTTGATTAAGTTGAATTATGATGGATTTTGAAAGTTTTGAATTTACTCTAAGATGACTATAATACAAGAGTTGATTGATTATTATATATTAAATTCATTTTAAAATAAATTCAAAAGATCATAAAATCCATCCTGACTTAATTTCTTCCAGGAGCCTAATCCCAACAAATCCCATTCATAAGCAAAGTCACAGTTTTCTCCTATTCTGGCTGATTAAAAGAAGTGTTGTGTTGCATGTGGCTTCAATAGAGATAAGAAGAATTGAATAAAGTTGCAGTCATAAAACTCGTTAAATTGCGTCTCTTAATTTTTAAAGAAGGATAAGAAGTGATTTACTTCTTTAAGAAATCGGTCACGTCTCAGTATAGGATGTGTGCGGCGGAACTTTATCATCCCCGAGAAAAACCTAAAAAGAGAATCTCTTTTTGCCTCTAACTGTTCCAGTAAACAAAGAAAACATTACTTCCCATCCTCAACAATGAAAAAAAAAATAAATAAATAATTGAAGCTTTCCACCTCTACCCATTGGAAATGGTTGATGGAAGTATCGTGCCCGTAGCTATTATTATTTCCATGCCTTGTATGACCATATTCATCTCCCATCAACATCATTGGCGTTCCCTGCATAAAGAAACATGTGTATTTAGGAGATTAACATTTGGGTTATTTGTGTGGATGTATTAAAAGTGTAGACTAAATCAAATGTAGGGGTTTTGAAGTTTCAGGTTTTTGATTGAAAGAAAATGAATTACTAGATAATTTATTAAGGGATTTGAAACTCATTAGATAATTTATTAAGGGATTTGAAACTCATTTAACATTCGTCCAATTTAGACAATTCCAAATACATTGTATAACTTAATCAGTACAACACTTCAACATCTCTGCATGAATCAACATCGTGACCTCCCCTTCCGCCACGTCACGGATGCTCTGTGCAAATCGATACAATGACATCCTCTCTTGAGCGAAGACGCTTCCACCCACTCTAATGAAACCTCCCTAAACACGACCCCCCAACACCCTTGATGATGCAACCTCACTCCCTCATGGGGCGCTAACCAACACCGGCTCTGATGACGCTGACCCCAACACCCGCACTATCATAAGTAAACCACACTCTAGAGAGAAAGAGAGAGTTGAAATCATCAAGTAGAGAGGAATGAGAGCTAAGTGGTGATTGTTTAGTACCAAGGCTAGTTACTTAAAAGACTAATGAAAGTCTATGCATTTTTTTTCCAAAATATTCGATATAAAGACCCAATCTCTCTCTCTCTCTCTCCCCCCAAAAAAAAAAATCAAACATATGAAACTAAAGGTCCAATTACAAGAGCCCAAGAAGATGCTAAAATAAGAGTCCAATCAAGGTCCATTACAAAAGGCCACTCATAAAGAAATAATTAAATTAGAGTGATGGTGAAATAGATGGGATATTATTAGTAGAATTCAAGTTGAATGTTTGCAGTGTGTGTGATACAAAAGTCCCCTCAAACTTAAGAAAAAATTCTATAAGATGGCGGTTAGACCTGCAATGCTTTATGGTGCAGAATGTTGATCATTAAAAGAGAAGCATAATATTAAGTGTTGCAGAGATGAGGATGCACAGGTAGATGAGTGGCTTTACTCTTAGATACAAGATACAAAATGGGCATATACATGAAAAGGTTGGAGTAGCTCCAGTGGAAGATAAGATTAGAGAGAGAGAGTCGTCTTAGATGGTTTGGTTGAATAAAACGCGAGCCTTCCAATGACCCGGTTAGGAAAATAGATGTATTAGATTTGAATTATGTTAAGATAAAGGTAAGACCTAAAGACTTGGCTAGAAAATATTAGAAATGACCTTTCTTTATTAGATTTAATTGACAATTTAAATTTTAACAGGGCACCATGAAGAAAAAGGATTCATGTAGCCGACCCCACTTTGTAAGATAAAGGCTTGATGTTGTTGTTGTTGTAATAATTGAATTTTAAAAATAGAATATAGAAGGCTTGGATTTTTTTAGGGAGCATATATGATTATCCATTTAATGAATTAATAAAAGTGGTTGTCACATTCCTCCATTAATGACTACCTACTCTCTTTTCCTCCAAAAAACTTTCCTCTTATTTTTTCATTTTGATTTATTATTGTAACTCTATAAACAGTGCTCATGGGTAATGATAAATTTTAGCTTTTGAATTAGAAGAAAATTTTGTAGAAATTTATTCTTTTTGGTTAGTTCTTGGTGGCCTACTTTGACCAACCTTGATGGGATTGATTAGTTATCCTTTTTTATTTTTATTGATATTCTTGTTAAATCTTTAAATCATATTCCCCTACACCCTAACCATCTTTCAACATCATTCAACCACAACTCAAGCATTAAAAAAAAAAAAAAGTCGACCCAACCCTCTTCAAAATCTTTTGACCTAGCTTAAGATTTTTTATGTTAGTCTCATTCTCCATATCACCACAAGATCTTTAATCTTACAAAACTCTATCATCTACACTAGATCATAAGTCCACATTTTAATCTAATCTTCTGCCATCATTTTAAGTCATTTACCCTTACTCAAAACCCATTCTCTAAAATAAACATGCAAATCAACCCAAACTAGCCCAATAGTACTAGTCTTGGCATACCTTTCACCTTACCCCTCCAAACTCTTATTTTCACCAAAAACTCAACATCACTTATTTAGATAATAAAATAAATATTTCTAAATATTTTTATAAAATAATCCCACTAAAAGGCCTCCAACTATCATCATATTTAGTATTAAAGCAAAGCCTGGAGAGAGATAATTTAGTCAAACTTTTTTACCAAATAGAAGAAGCTTTCTTCTTGTGAACTTGTCTTCAAATTTATGAGTTATTCCAAAACTTATGAAGAGAATTAATTTCTTTTTATAATAATTTAAATTTATATTATTAGCATGGAAATGAAGTACATAACTTGCAAACCGATGGTGATAACATAAGATTCCAACAAGTGAGCTCTACCATATAATTCAGCTTTTTTCCCTTAATGTGAACTTGTCTTACAAAAAAGATTTCCTTGAGAGAACACCTTGGTGAGAAGGTGCTCCACACTTCAAATAAACCCCATAACTAGTACAAATTTAAACTTCAGTTATTGTTCTTTTTACTTTCTTTGTTAATGCTTATGGTTAACTCGACAAGTTTATCTAAATTAACTTGTGATAACTTGCTTTCTAAGGAACTAGAGGCTTGGTTGTCTTAAACATTTTTCTTTGCATTAAAATTACATGCATAGAAATACTAGTGTTAAACTTTGTGTTTTAACGCCTAAATAAAAATTTGTCAAAAATACTTAAACTGTCAAATAGCTTAGGACGTAAGAGATCTTGCACACCCTCCTCACCTGAAAGTTCTCTTAGCTTGAAATTTCACATCGATTACACATTTATATTGTCAAATACCATTTTTCTCGAGTGGTTTTGCCGCCAAATGGCACCATGAAATATCGGTTATGGCCAGAGCCAATGCGTTCCTTGTTAGCATCAAATCTTTGAGATATGGATCAATAGGATATGATCGATAGGGCACAAAGCCCTCTGTTAGCTAAGGTGGATTCAAATTTGTCCCCTTAGACAAACATTCAACCCCGGTCTACAAGGTACCCTTGGACGAAGCAACCCATGGCTGCCGACAATGATCCTTCTGTCAGGTTGGGTCGACTACCTCCTCTGACTAAGTAGACCAGGGACCATGATGGCCCGGGACGACGAAACCATGGGATCTTGATCGGGTCTATCATCTATTCCCCAACCATCCGCTTTAAGTGCAGGATGGTGAAATTTCTACTTTAAATATAAAATCTTCAAATTCTCAAATCCAACATTCTCAAATTTCAATACCCACTGCTGCTACTATATGCCAGATAACACGTATTCTATACGTATCTGATTGACGACTAGCCTTAATCGAAAGTTCTCTCTCGTGATCGGGAGAGGTAATTAACTATAGGGGCTTGCGCCTATAGGAAACCAGAACTCAGATCATAAAGTCCTCGTAAAATGAGGGCGAAATCTCTGGGTAGTGTCTTATCTACAAACCCATCTGCCTTCCAAAATTTACCCCGAAACTTATTCCGTTAAAACTCCCCTCGCTCGAATAAAAAATAGAAATCGCGTGGAGGGGAGGCCGGGGCCGAATTTTTGGAGCCCACAATTGATGAATCCCAAATTAATGTGATGACATGTCTTACGATAGCTAAAAATGAAACATAAGACAGAAGGAGAATATCTTTAATATGTATGTTGTGTATAATGCAAAGATGTGTAAGTTAGTCATAGCTCGGGGAAGTGCAATGAATGTTATCTCAACCCACATCCTTTCTAGAGCCAACCTAAAACTTGAACGTCATCCCGAGCCCTTTCATGTTAGTTGGGTCAACCGCACCTCTCTTGCAATCACTAGTAGATGTCCAATTCCCATAAAAATTAGTAGCTATGAAAATCAAATTGAGTGTGATGTTCTTCCCATGGACATTGATCATATTCTTTTGGGAAAACCTTAGTTCTATGATTTGAGTGTTATTCACGATGGTAGGGAAAATATGTCTTCAAATATAATAAAATGATCATTAAACTCTTACCGGTGAAACCTCTAGAGAAGACACCCTCTATAGTATCCCTCAGGACCACCTCTGACCTACAACCCAAGCCTAATCCAAATAAAGGAGCAAAACTTGACCTAATTGTCATAGGAAAGCCTACTGCAAGGGATAGTAATATCAATTCTGAGACAAGTTTTAGTACACATATTCAACCTTCTTCTTTGAACTTAACCACACAGACGATAGGATTTAGAGCCTAACAAAAAGAATTTCCTGATCTAATCCTTCTTCACCTATTACAAGTAAAGGAAGTCACACCAGACTCTAATGAGACTCACATATCTGCTAAGGTCTACCCATTTCTCTCTGATTTTTATGATATTTCCCTTGATGATATTCCAAATGAATTACCCCTTCTTAGAGACATTCAACGTGCCATTGATTTCTGATGTGATGCTAAATGCAATAAACAAGAATTGCAATTAAGATATTAATATAAGTGATGAACTTTACTTTGCTAACAAAAACCCTTTGTTTGCTCAAGTTAAAGTTTTAAGAATATGGCGTTGAAAGATTAAGCAATAGCAATAGACTACACGTGGAGATTGCTAGAACTTGCAAAATAATAACCAAAAATTTAGGTAATGCAAATAGCCAAATATAACAAAGCCTCAAATTTAAAATATATATCCTTCACCTTGAAGTCCTTCACTCGTTCTTGAAAGTGGTGGCTAGCGGAAGAGGATCGTAAGTAGACTCAGCGATGCCACTAGTAGACAGGTGATACCGAGAGGGTTCGTTGCCGGGGAAGAAGCCGGAATTGGAGGAGCGGGTGGGTGGCCGTCGATGGTCCAATCGTAGTCTGGGATTTGTCTGTCGATGACTTGCACGAGGGTGGGGAGGATCCGATCCAAGTAAGCTCCAACGGTGTCGTCGTCGTGGTCAAATCCCGCGTCGAAGAATGGTGATCGTAGGATGTTGATATTACCGTGGGCGTCGAACACAAGTCCCCATTCAAATTCGGGGTATGGTGGGATTGAGCAGGGAAGACAAAAGAGTGGAGGTGGGAGAGCAAGCCGTGAGCAAGGGGAAGGAAGGGGGTCACGGGTTGAGAGGGGAGAGGGGCCGGGTGGAGCTATGTGGGAAAATAACAAAAATCTGAATTTAATTCAGATTTTGTTTCAAATGTGGGGGCTTAATTTCAGTTTAGATATTTCAAATTTGGAATTAGTCAACAAAGGTAAGAAATAAGAGTGAGTTATTAAGAAAATTAATGTGGGAGAGAGACGAGGGAGGGCCGGCCATGTGGAGTGGGGAGAGGCTTGAGATTTAAGTAAGTGGGGACCACTAGGAATTAATCAAAATCTGATTTTAATTTCAGATTTTGATTGTCTCATGTAACTCCCAATTTAAATAAAATTAAGAGGGAATTTGAATTTCAAAAGATTGTAACTCACCTTAATTAATTCCCTAATTTAATTTGACTTAATTAGGAAAGTCATCAAGGGAGGGAAATTCAAAATTCGAGGAGGGCTAGAGGGGGCCGGCGGCAAGGGCTCACGGGTGGCCGGCGGCAAGGGATCCACGGGAGGCCGGCGGATTGCTTGGCGGATGGCTGGCCGGCAGGAGGGGCTTTGCAGGCGGCGGGTTGGGCTTTGTAGGCTGGCGGCAACACCGGATCTCCACACAATAAACTTGGGCGAAATCTAGAACTCACAAAGAGATCTAGTTTCTCCGTCGAACTCACTAAGAGATCTAGGAGTGAACTCACAAAGATATCTATAATAACACCTACACCATTTCTAGTACGACTCCTACCCGAATACCAAAGTTTAAATTCTAAACTATATGATATTAAAAGGTAAGTTGAGGAATTACTAAAAGGTCTTGTTCAGGAGAGTATTAATCCATGTGCAGTCCCAACTTTATTAGCCCCTAAGAAAGATGAAACATGGCGACTGTGTTGATAGTCAGCCAAAAAATAAAATTACTATCAAATATAGATTTCCTATTCCGCGATTAGATGATATGTTGGATTTAATCTCAGGAGCAAATTTTTTTCTAAAACTAATTTAAAAAGTGGCTATCATCAAATTAGAATTAGGTTAGGAGATGAGTACAAAACTACTTTTAAAACCCCTAATGGACTTTATGAATGGCTTGTCATGCCATTTGGACTTTCAGATGCCCGTCGCCTGTTTATGAGATTAATGAATATGGACGTTCATAACTGCACAAAATGACCATACAACATTGATATGTTTCAGCCTAGTAAAAGATGCTTCTTTTAAAGAAGCAGCATTTGCAGTGACATAATCTAAGTAGCATGGAAAATAGGCTAAAACATGGATACAATGATAAGAATATTTGACTAATTCATCAAAGAATCCCAGAAAATTATGCATACATTCTTGACTTCATTACACAAGAAAATTATAAAAGCTGATTCACAATTCATTTAAGTTTCTAGTATTAACTACATTCAAGGACAGAATCATTGGATTTTCTCAAACAAAAGTTAAAATAGGCCTACAAGAAAACTTAACTGGAAGCATAACCAATAATTCTTGCAAAAAGACAGCGAAAAAAAAAAAACGTTGAGCACCACTACCTGAGAGATCATCAGTGCAACATGAAAGTTTTTCATTTGTCGTGCTCGCAAATTTCTGATATTAATATCATCAGTTTCACCTGCAGAGGTTGCATGTCTACTACTTAAATCAGTAAATCACAATATTTTTATCAGCAAAAACATGCAAAAGGGCTGTGTCACTTGATAAAAGTAATATAATCGAATGCAAGATATTTAAATCATTGTTGGCATTGGAATTAGACCATTGATAAATAAGTTGACCGCCAAATGTGAAAACTCGAAGTAAATTAGCAAATTTAGAATGCTGGAAGGTTTTTGCAATGTGGTTTGACAATTAAGAATAGCCAAGACCTTACAATTGTACTTAGTCTCTTGACAGAAATGAGTGACACTCATTACAAAGAAAGACTTGTGTATGTGGATACATATACATATATGTATCAGAATTTTATTTAGCAGGAGAATGCCCACTTACGGTTGATAGAACTTTATAAATTTCACCTTTAAATATGCAATTAAACCATCAATCTCTTCAAATCATAAAGAATAGGTTCGTATGTAATGGATTTTAGATAATTTAATCACAATCACATGAAAGAGTTTTCATAGTGAGTGGTTGGAATTGCAAAAGGACAACTTTGCAGTTTTATAGGTTAGCACGTTCCAAATCAACGAATTCAAAACATAGTTTGTCTGAGATGCATAGATCATGTATATTTGATGACTTTCATTTTTAAATAGTATGATAAAGTCGAGAGTTTATGTAGGCTTCCATTATCTGCACAAAGAGTAAATACCAAATATTAGCAGTTTTCAGATTCACAAATAATAAAAGCGGGATTTGTTAACTATGCCCATGTAATGATGATGACTGACAAACTTTCCCTTGAAGACGATCATTTTTCCTTTAACGGTTATGTTTTAATTCATATATATTTTCCAGCGAACAGGATAAGAACTATAGCCAGATCTGAAATGAAATGCTCAAAATAATACAAACAAACAACTTCGCATATTACAAAATCTTAGATAACTTTTTGTTTTCTTTAATGATGATGACTGATAAACTTTCCCTTGAAGACGATCATTTTTCCTTTAACAGTTATGTTTTAATTGATATCTACTTTCCAGCAAACAGGATAAGAACTATAACCAGATCTGAAATGAGATGCTCAAAATAATACAAACAAACAACTTCGCACATTACAAAATCTTAGATAACTTATTGTTTTCTTAAATGAAAACAAAAAATATAAAGAAAATCCACACATATGATAATTTAATAACCTTCTACTGCGCATAGAAATTCAGATTGTATCAAATGTGAGAAGAATCAACAACACATGAAAACCAAATCAACATCTAGGTAATACAAATTGTAAGGAACCGTAGATTACCACTCTAATCAAGTATGATTAACAAGAAAATTAGGTTTAATTAATAGGTTATTTAGGTAAATTATTTTCGAATAATAATTAGGATAAATTATGCATTGCTTTAATTATTTTGATGAATGAGCTTGACTTGAATTGAGCATAAATATGTTCAGGTTGGATTTTTTTTCAGATAGGGAGTTGTCTACATAAGAAATTAATGCTAATAAATGATGTGGCCTTCTTTTATTAGTGTCAAGAGTCAATCACGCATATCAATATTTAGAAAATAGTCAGTGTACAAGGAAAAGAGATCACGAAATCAAAAGAATGAAGCCTGTCACTTGCAAAAGGATATAACTTCTAAAAATCTCTATCCATCACTTTTTTTTTACTCTTACCATCCTTTTTTTTTTAATTTTTTTAATTTTTTTTTTTTTTTTAATTTTTTTTTTTTTTTAAATCTCTATCCATCACTTGAGCTAGTAGAAAAATCAAAAGTAATTGCACATCCAAAAGCAATTTATTCAAGAACACTTCACCAAGTTTTTCTACGCCTTGAACTTCAAAAAAAACCTTTTAAAACTTACAGTAAAAAAAAACAAAATCTGAAAATAATAGCCTGGCAGCAATATGTTAGGCCGGTTCATCCTGAACCGGCCTAGCAGGCCCTTGGGCCGGCTCAAGTCTATAGGAGGCGGACATGTTCCGCCTCCTTTGGAGCTTGCCGCCCACACTAGTGGGTCCCACTAGAAGCAATTTGAGGAGAGAGGATTGGGCGGTTAGGGTGAGAGGAAAAATTTGAATTAGGGATGTTTGAATTAGGAAATTAATGTGTTAATAGAATGGCTTGTTTAGGGTTAGGGTTATGCATGATTATTGAGTTCTTTGGAGTTTTTCTCTTAGTGTCTTAGGCTCTAGAACTTCTAGAGATTCTAGTTATGCCATTTGGGCTTACCAACGCCCCTGCTACTTTCCAATCACTGATGAATAGGGTGTTCAGACAGTACCTCCGGAAGTATGTTTTGGTGTTTTTTTATGACATCTTGGTGTACAACAGAACTGAGGAGGAGCATCTGAAGCACTTGAAGTTGATCTTGGGAGTTTTACAATAACATCAGCTGAGGGCCAACCTGAAGAAGTGCTGCTTTGCCCAGACTAGTGTAGAGTACTTGGGTCATATCGTGTCCAAGGAAGGGGTGGTGACCGATCAGTCAAAGGTAGAGGCTATGTTGAGATGGCCCTTACCTAAGAATCTGAAGGAGTTAAGAGGATTCTTAGGGCTGACGGGGTACTACAGTAGATTCGTAAAATGGTACAGTATTATCGCATGGCCACTGACAGAGCAGCTAAAGAAAGATGAATTCTTATAGGGAGAGGCAACCACAACAACATTTGAGAAACTAAAGAAGGCTATGATCACTTTACCAATCTTAGCTTTACCAGACTTCACTCAGGCCTCCATAGCGGAGACAGATGCTTCAGAATACGAATTGGGGGAAGCACTCATGCAAGATCAGCAACTCATTGCCTTCTTCAGCTAGGTGTTGGCAGCCAGAGCCAGACTGAAATCAGTCTATAAGAGGGAGTTGATGGTCATCGTTTTAGCCATCCAGAAGTGGAGACCCTATCTGTAAGCTAGGCATTTCATTGTCTGAACAGATCAGAGTAGCAGATGGTGACTAAAGAGCATCAGAGGTGGTTGTCCAAATTGTTGGGGTATGATTTTGAAATCCAGTACAAACTAGGAGGGGAGAACAAGGTGGCATATGCCTTGTCCAGATGTATGGGGAGCTGCAGACAATGGCAATGTATGCTCCTTTGATGCTGGACTGGGAGACAATTAGGGAGGAGAGCGCTAAGGATGAGGAGTTGGGAAAGATCAAGTTAGATTTATTGAGGGAAGATGGTAGCCACCCAAGGTACTCAGTAGAGGGGGATAGAATGCTGTATCAAGGAAGGTTCGTGATGCCCCGGACCTCAATCAACATCCCAAACTTACTCCAGAAATTTCATGAAAGCGCGGTTGGGGGTCATCCAAGGGTTCAGAAGACCTACAGGAGGTTAGCTTCATAGCATTACTGGAAGGGAATGCATAGAGACGTAAAGGAGATGGTGGCCAGGTGCGAGATATGTCAGAGGAACAAATATCTGGCTATGTCGCCAGGGGGACTACTACAGCCGTTGGCGTTACCGAGACGAGCATGGGAGGAGATATCCATGAACCTCATAGATGGGCTGCACTGTTCAGAAGGTTTCATGGTGATTTTGGTAGTGATGGATAGATTGAGCAAGTATGCTGATTTCATCCCCCTCCAACATCCTTACGCCGTGGTGAAAGTGGCTTCAGCTTTCATCAAAGAGATTGTCAGATTGCATGGAGTACCAGAGGCAAAAGTACAACACCTCTTTTCATTTTGATTCTCAGATGATCCTGTGTTGTACGGAAGGGATCCTCCTCATTTGGTGCACTTTGGGAGTAGCAGTACTATGATTTCTTCAGTGGAGGAGTACTTGGGGGAGAGGAATAAGTGTTAAAGGAGTTGAAATGTTTACTGAGAGCTCAACATATTATGAAGAAACAAGCTGATTGGCATAGGAAGGACATCCAATTTGAAGTAGGAAAGAGGGTGTTCTTGAAGCTATGACCATACAAACAGAAGGCAATCGCCAACAGGAGAAATGAGAAGCTTGTCCCAAGATACGTAAGACCTTATATAATATTGAAAAAAATTGGAGCGATAGCATATCGGCTGAAACTACCACCAACGGCGCTATTCATCCGATTTTTCATGTATCACAATTGAGAAGAGTCATTGGAGATTATACAGTCAGCTCGGAGTTACCGGTAACACTTACTGAGGATTTGGAGGTGATTCTGAAACCCTTAGAGTTGATGGGGGTTCGCCAGAAAGAAGATGGAGTTAAGGAAGTGCTAATCAAGTTGAAGAATCAGTCTGACTATGATGCAACATAGGAACCACACGAGAGGTTGAAACAACAGTTTCCTAGTTTTCACCTTGAGGACAAGATGATTCTTTGGGAGGGCAGTATTGTTAGGCCGATTCATCCTGAACCGGCCAAGCCAGCCCAAGGGCCGGCTCAAGTCTATAGGAGGCAGACATGTTCCGCCTCCTTTGGAGCTTTCCACCCACACTAGTGGGTCCCACTAGGACCAATATGAGGAGAGACAATTGGGCAGCTAGGGTAAGAGGAAAAATTTGAATTATGGATGTTTGAATTAGGGAATTAATATATTAATAGTATGACTTGTTTAGGGTGAAGTTATACATGATTATTGAGTTCTTTGGAGTTTTTCTCTTGGTGCCTTGGGCTCTAGAACTTCTTCTAGAAATTGGGAGAGAAGGATCCTCCTCTCGAATTGAGGATCAATTGTATCTTTGCTTCGTGTTTGTTGCTTTGGATTTCCCTAATACAATCCACTGATTTTGGGTTGATTTCATCACGTTCTTGTGTGTTTTCTGGCTGTTTTTTTATCAATTATTGCTAGGGTTGATTGCGAACTCAAGTATTTCCTCTTGGATTACTTGCGAACTCAAGTATTTCCTATCACAATAATCTCATAATTCTCATTGTTTAAACTTTGTATATCAGATATAGCTTCAGCCGTAAAATAACATCACCCCAACACTAGATCAACCAACAATCTCGAAGTGATTGTGGTAGAATCAAAAGCCGCATAACCTCAATGAAGCTGGCTAGAGTGGGGTTAACATACATTAGAAGTCATTCCGCTGCAAAACTCCAAAAGCCAACGCCTAAAGCTCTGTGTATGGTCAAAACATCATAAAACTAATAAAATTTCATAGAGAAGTGGTGGTCAAGCCAACGAGGTGTCCAAGAAAACTTCCGTTCTTCTTCGAAGTTGGTTTTTAAGTTTATTGCCTTCAAATGCCATATAAGGATTTTCCATCCTCTTCAGCACTAAAAACCCATATGAGAAGACATTATGCACTTGTATAAATTCTACAATGAATACATAGCATAAAAATTTTAAAAAGTAGATCATTCAAAATTCCAACAAACTAGTTTTTGTATGGTTACAATATAGCAACTTCAAAATCAACTGAAAATCGGTGCAAGGATTGCATGCAACTTACAGAAAACCTTTACAATTTTTATTTTGGAAATTGCTACAGAAAATATTCTGATGTAGAGTTTCATCAGCTTTCCAGCTTATACATTTTTAATGCATGATTGAGGCAGAATTTCTTTTTTTATAATGAAAAGCTAAAAAGAAAAAACCACTTTTCATTCGTAGAGAGAAAATAATTAAAAAAAATTTAGAAACGGGAAAAAGATCAAAATGATCCATTGAATTTTTATGAATGACCAAAATAACCCCCAACAATATTGAAGGACTATTTTGATCCCACAAGTACTCTTTAAAAAGAAATTATAATAGTCTCATGGTGAGACTATTTTAATTCATCTTTTAAGAAATTGAGAGACCAAAATAGTACTTTAATATAGTTGGGGACTATTTTGATTCTTTTCTCATTTAGAAAATAAAAAAGTTCACAAAAAATTACTACAGAGAAAAGAAAGTTAAATATTAGCTTTAAAAAGATTTTGGGTTTGTAGGAAAGGTTTAAAGCTTTACTTTTTCTCTAAGATTTCATATGCTTTGTTTTCATGACTAGATTTTATAGACAAATATGCTTAAAATTAAAGTGATGACCCAATTTTGTTTATCATCCTTGACAGTATTAAAAAAAAAATGCTGTTCCATTCATTTCAAATGTTATAAATAGATGAGAGCCAGAGGATGCTCCAAATTAACATTTTTAGGATTAACGAAGAATTATACATTAAAAAATTAGTGAAACAACAACCCCAAGTTTTTATCACATAAAAGTGGACTCCAGATCTTGCTTCAGGGGAGGGGGGGTCAAACCAAATCCTAAATTTTTGTTTTGACTTCTTTTGGACTTGCTAGCTCATTAATATTTTAAGCTGAAATTTATCTCATTATGAGCTGTTTTTTAGTTCATTTATTGAAGAATTATTAGATTCATTCCCCTTTTTATTTGTCTCTTTGGTTTCTTCTTGTGTCTCTTTGATTTCCCCTCTAGTGCCTCTTTTCCTTCCCTTTGTCTATTTGTTTTCTTGTGCTGGCTGTTTTCCCAAGCCTTGTCCCTTGGATTTCCGTGACTGGCTGTTGGTTTCCTGTGCTGGGAGAAATTCCGTGCCTTTGCCCCCTTGGTTCTGTGGTTGGCTGTTCGGTTTTGGGTTCCCTGCTTGGTTCCACAGGCTGCTGCTTGGTTCCACGGGCTGGGATGCTTGGTTCCACGTGCTGGGCTGCTTGGTTTCACGTGCTGGGCTGCTTGGTTCTGTGTGTTTCTTTTCTCTGTTTTGCTGAAATGTTTGGGATTTGCTGAAATGGTTGTTGGCCTTTCATTCCCTAGATCTAATAGAATTATTTATTGTTGTTTGGGGAGGGGGGAATTCCATGAGTCTTTCCACTATTTTCTGTGCAGTTTTTCTGCTGAATTCCTGCTGTCTTTTGGTCTTCTATTTGGTGACTTATGGCCTTCTATTTCCCTACTTTAATTAGTAGTTTTGGTGGTTGTTTGGCTGCCCTCTTTCTCCTATAAATACAAGATGTTTTGGGATAGAAAAGAGAGTTTATGTGAGCTATTTTTGGAAGCCATAACCTGCGGGTTTGCTTGGAAAAGCTTGCGAGCTTTGTCCAACTTCTCTTCCTCTCCTCCTTTGGAAAGCTTGCGAGCTTGTCCTCCTCCTTCGTCTTGGCTTCTAACCTCTTTCTTCTCGCCGCAAGTGCCACCTCACCTGTATCCTTCTTCTATTGAAATGAAGCTCCTTTAGGTTTGTTGTGTCCAAGTTAGTAAAGTATTTGTAAGGTGTTTGTGTTCAAGAGTTCTAAGTGTCCTTTTCTAATATTATAAAAGTGTCTTTGTTTCCTATTTTGTATCTTTTTGAGAAGAATTTGGTGTATTTCTTTAGCATTTTCTATATCTCTTTTATATAGGAAGAATTTATTTTTTCTAGCAAAAATTTGGGGTTCTCTCCCAAATTTGAACCCCAAATTTTTGCTTACATCAAGAGAAGAGCATGTACCTCATGTCTCACAATCATATTTAATATAATGCACATTTCCGTGTACAAAAATAGGAATTTCTTCTTGAAAGCATTCCATTCATACCTCTCAAACATGGCTAAAAGCTACTTTGCCAAAGAATATAATCCATAATACCAAAACTGGTCACTGATATTAGCTCAAAATAATTTGTTAGAGTAACTAGTCTTAAACATGCAATGGTCAATGAACTGATAATGCATGCGTCAATATTTTTGGTTGCTAACGTTGTCAAGAAAATAGAGGCATTAATCAAGCTGTTTTATCCAACATTTCTTGTATCCATTGACCAAGAACTCATGCCAATGTCAAATTTCAGGATAGAAAAGATGTTGGTAAAAAGATAGAAAATATTGTAAGAAATGGATAGACTTGAAACCATAAAACAACTTAAATTTGCTCTTAGAAGTTTCAAATTTGCCCTGCCAGAAACTATACTACAATTAAAAAGATAGAATACAACTAAAATGAATTACCTTCAAATCCGCAGTTCCAACTAAAATTATCATTGCATCCATCATTTCCATTTTCTCCATTAGCATCATTATGCTACAAGAAAGCAACAAAAAAAAGATCATTGAGAATACAGTTGCCCTAACATTGAATTATCTCTATTTTTCTTACTTTCAAGTGTTATCTGCAGGACTATTTATAGGTATTAAAGGTTTTATGTGAATACCTTAGAATTGTATGAAACAAGATCATACAAAGTAAAACCATCATGAGCGATGACAAAATTGACGCTATGATATGGCTTGCGTTGATTTACCTGTTGAATAAGTTTCACAAAATAGTAGTAAACAAATAAAGTGACGACTGCAATTTCTAAGAGTGGCATAATCTTGCATCAAAATAGTAATAGCTAAGATGGAATGAAATGAAATAAAAAAGATTAAAAAATGAGATACCTGGATAAGTAACAAAACTTTCTATTAGCCAAGATCAACTTAAAATTGTTCCCTTAAATAAATACTCATTCTCTCAACCATATGCTTCAAACTAAGAGATGATAATTTTTATGGATCATAAATGAAATTGCTGCTAATAACGGTAAGCATTTAATGCCTACGAACTAGTCTTAATTAAAAGTTCTCTATTGCAATATGGTGTGATAATTAACCATAGGGCTGTTATATCAACACAAAACTTGGAATAAGTTTATAAAGTCCAAAATGGGCAAAATATTTGGGTAATATCCTATTCATAATTCAATCTGTCTTTTGAAAATTTGACCCATAATATAGACTCACAAAAGAGTCGAACACAAATTTTGGAAACCCATAAGTTGTTGCTCATACCAAAAGGTACTACTAAAGCTGAAGGAATTGCAGATAGATGAAGTTGTTGAATAGGATTAGCAACGCGCATTTATGTGTAAATGGGCAGCTTTGCTAGTGTAAAATATATATAGGAAATAGTTGCCCATAAAAACCATCTTGGTTTAAATATTTGTGATTTCCATGCCTAGATAAGGATTTAAACCTTTGCCTCTCTTTTCTTTACAATTTTTCTTGTCCCCATTTTTATTTTTTTCTCTCGGATTACGAGATAATGCGATTAAGTAATATAAAAATAAGATTAATAAGCACATAAATAAATGTATTAAATGAGCACTCAAATTTAGCATACACAAATGAGAGTATTATACTAATGCAAAAAGGTTGCATTTACCAGATAAATAATTATAAAACCTTAGCTATTGTTTGAATTTCATGGATGCAAGAAAGATAGAGATTTCTTTTACTATCAATCAAACCTGATATAAGTCTGCAGATCCTGACACACGAGTTGCAAAAGATCCCTTCATACCAGTGTCACCCTAAGAAAAAAGAATAATGCAGTAAGTATTGGTTGACAAGATAACTATTACTTTATTATGATAAAAAAAGGACTTTGTTTACTGAAGCACGATAAGAAGAAATTAATACAAATCAAAAGGAATGCAATCTTCACCAATCCTAACTATAAAAAGAGATTCACACCCAACGTTGCAACAAACATAGGGCTTGGAAGAGGTTAACGTATGCAGCCCCACCCCAACATTGCAACAAACCCATGACATCTAGGTCATAATGGAAGCAACCTAATCATCACTCAAGATCAAACCCTAACCGAACTAGTAATATATACGTTTTATTTAATAAATAAGAATATTGAATCAACCACTAGATCCATCTAAAATCTTCAGAAAAAGATGGTTCTAAACATATGGAAGACTTGCAGTTTTCTTAGCTGATATCAACAAAGATTTAATAAAAAGTTTACGATCTATATAGCATCTTATAGGATAAGTACATTCCATGTGCATTTAAATTAAACATAAAAATTACAGTACAAGATATGAAATATTTTAAATAGATTGCTCCTCAAACATTGAACTTAAATTTATTATGGTAAACATATGAGCTAACATATGTCTCCTGGTAAGGAAACAGATCTCCAATTCGATGTCTAAGCATATGACCTTCAAACACAGAACCATGACCATTCATCATCTTCAAAATTAGCCATATAAAAGATTTTAAAGTAATTTTTATGTTTTTCTAATCATTCATTTGATTGATACAATTTTTTAAATGGAAGCTTTCAATCGCATAAGTGAGTTTCACAACTCAAATTCCCAGAATGTATCAAGTTTAGGATATCCATAGCATACCTTACAGTTTGGAATAGTGATTTACATATATAAAAAGAAAATATTATGAAGAACTCGGTAAAAACATCGTATTGGGAAAATTAAATCATCATTATCAGGACTTAAGGTTATTAAAGCACCTTTTTCTGACTTGTGTCATGCCATACTTTATGATATTAAGCAATGGTGTCTAATTATGTGCTAGCTAGAATTGTGACTTGTAAACCTATATATATATATATATATATATATATATATATTTATAATGAAAATTTCTCTAATAATGAGAGAATATCGATACATAATAATGAATCAAATGGTCATTGTAGATATGGTAATAAAAATAGTTATGTTTCGTAGTATGATTTAGGTGATCTATTTAGTGAACACGAGACATGACAGAGCTTATTCACCAAATTGGTTATAGCATGATTTGAAATATTAGAATTGTTCAACATTCTTGAATGAAGTTTACTGTAAATAGCAAGGAGTAGGTAAGCATTATGCATGATGTTCCGGTACTATAGTAATGGTATTGTATAGAAATGCTCCCCAAGTTTATGATTGTCGGAAAATACCAGTGTGGAGGTAAAAGTGTCTTAGATATGCAACAAAAAATTGGACAGTCCAAATTGCAAAATGCACACCGAAAGCTCCAAATTTTCAACTATTTTTGCTAACTGGGATCCCATTTCCTGTCAGATATAATTTAGACAGATTTACAACCTCTGCCACATCTCCAGATCTTGAAGGAAGAGTTTTAGCGTAGGATGATCATAGAATGATTTGATTCAACACGTTTCTTATTACTTTTTCTATCTTATATTGATTCGTGATAGTTATAGGCTAACAATATTTCAATTCAACACATTTCAAATCTTTTTAATGACGGATTTTTTGCGATCATTGAGAATTGATGTAGGATGATCATAAGATGATAGGACTTTTATTCAACATGTTTAATATGAAGTTTATGATGATTTGGGCAGCCTCCAAACATATTGGCATGAACGCTTCTTTGCCCACATTCCGTTGGTGCAAAAGGCTCCCTCTTCCCCATCAACTGAATGTTGGTAAAAGTCTTCGTGCTCCTGGTTTTTACTGGTCAACACCTATCCCTCTTAAGTCAGTTTTATCTTGTTCTTACTGAATTCATGTAATTTTTTCTCTACTAAATTGTATTCCGTAGCATACATCTTTTTTCTTTCATCAATGGTTATGGCCACTGCCCATTTATTAAATTCAAGCTTTCAATTCATTTTCTAGCTTACTCGTTCACCAACAACTTCCACATAGTGCACAATGCTACATGGCATGCATGTCATCTCATTTCTGAAGCTATGAATTATCAAGCAATGCTGGTATAATCCAATTTACCTTAATAAATCTCCGAATATCATCACGATACTTGCCGTTCCATTCAGCCCACCTGCAGTACTTCAGCAAAAGAAATTCAGAAAAGCACCATCTAATTTCAATACAAAGGCAGAACAGGCACATGTGTTGTGTTTATTTCAAAAACTATTCTGAGAAGCTTGCAAAAAAATAGCTCCTTTTTTTTTGAAAAAAAAAAAAGTTCTTTTATTTTGCTTTGAATTTGCCTAGCCAGGTCTCCCCATATCAAGATAAAAATTGAAAGCACTCCACTGAAGATATTAAGGAGAAATAATACGAGAACGTATAGATATTATCCTAAATTTTATCTGAAGGATAAGAGTTTAAAATAACGAATCACTAGGGATATCAACGTATATAATAGCAAACCAGCATAAAATGTTCTAAAGTTCTAATATTTGATAATGGACCAAATTGTCCACAAGTTCAACAGAATCAATCTCCTCCTAGTAGGTTTCTTCATAATTTAACTTTGTTTTGCAAAAGATCATTTAAATTTTGATGACTTGAAACGTCAAATTAAAAAAAGAAAAAAAGAAAAATAAAAAAGATAGCAATTGATAAACACAAAAGCATATTTGGGGAGCAGAATATCAACCATTAGGTCACATAAACTTGAAAACTTTCATATCTGCAATATCAATCATTTTTTTTCTTTCTGAAATGAATAGAGACAGTGAAAATGTTCAGAATCACAAGAAAAGCACTACTTCAATACCATAAGTTTTACCATTTTTGAAAAGAAATAAAAATAACACGAATAAGACCAGGACACAGTTCGTTGCTGATGACAAAAAGGACCTTCACATGAACTACAACAGTACAACATCAAGCAAACTTAGTCTATCTTCAGGAAAAAAGTTCCCATCAGACAGCTCATTGCAATAAAATCATTATCATTCATGAGATTACCTATCCCAATTCGGAAACCTTCCAACCAAGTACAGGCCACCACAATCCCAAGGTTCAGCAATTATTTTACATTTGGATAGGACAGCATCCTTTGCAATTGCCTGATTGATGGATCATAGAAACAAGAGGGGTGTTATTCTTCGTCATTGACAGAATTTTTTCAATGTACTCAAATTTATCAAAAACTAATAACATGTGACAATCAACCGAGGACTAAAAATATCAAAATATGTTCTTGCTCGCTTTAAATTAAAATGCTAACTGACATTTTCAAATCATTTCAACTTTAAACTCATAATATTATGTAAGAATGTCACAAAAGAATTTCAAAGAAAAATGCATGTCTGAAGCCAGAATCACCCATCCACAACCATGAATAAATTAAGCTACACCATTTCAAATCAATTTTTCATTGCAAGTCCAATCAGATGTTAGTATCTTGAATTATCCCTAGGAATCCTCATTGCTACAAGTTCATCTAAAGCAGGAGATATTGCTAATTCATCATCCTTAATCATATATAAACTACATGGGGTAAATTTTTCCAATCTTTAATCTCCATTCAATTTGATTGAACTATAGGAGTTCATCATCGGGTACCTACCCCTAGTCAGTTAAAGGTTCTGTAAATTCAACTTTAGTCTGAAATGTTTTTATATTCATTCAGTTTCTTTTGCGTCATGGAGTAACCTAAATTAAAAATAAAGATTTTCTGAAGACCTCTGGCTATTGTATAATGAAAACCTCCAGTTAAATAGGATACTTGAAATTTTTCTGAACTGCGACGTCCTAGTTCAAGTGCCAGAATTGACATCTTTTATTCTTAATCTCTCTTTCCTTCTATTATTCCATGTTCAAATCATTTTCGTTTCACTATTTTGTCATTGGATGGCAAAGAGAAGTCGCATTTATTTACTTTACACATGTAGTGGAGATCTAAAAGTTTATAATGGTAGAGCGCCAAGAAAATAAATGATCAGAGGTTTTATTTTTAATTATCTTGCAATGCAACGCTCACTTATTTTAAACAGTATTCTAAACATGCCTCTGATTTTGTGATCTATGAGAACGGGATGTCCTCTCTTGGATTATAACTTCAGATTTAGGTAACCGATTGTCTAGTTCGTTTTAATTGGGTTTGCCTCTAAATTGGTAGCTTGGTTGGTATTAATTAGCTCCAGGGTTGGCTGTTCTTATGAAGACCATCAACTTGGACTCGTACATCATTATCCAATTCATGACTTATTGAAAAAATTGGTCTTCACGCACTAAGAGCAGCAACGTGAACTTGATTGCGGCCTTCAACGGTAGCTTAAGTGGTATTAAACCAGTTACTGAATTGGTGATATTCGCTATTTAATCAGTTGCTATCAGCTATAGTGATCAATTGTTCTTGTTGTAAGAACACAGAGCAAGCGGAGAGGAGAGGAGACACCGACGGAGCAGACAAGAAAAGGAAGAAGACCCAGATGAACAGAGGAAAGGAAATGAATGTATTATTAGATTAAATCCAAACGTACAGGTGGACATGTATTTATAGATGTACATAGGTAGAAAAGTAAATAAGTACAGAAATAGTATAAGCTAAGTTGAGGCGTCCTGATACTTGTAGCTTAATTCTAGAGCAATTCTACCATGCCTTACAGAATCCTTCTGTAGCCGTGTCCTTAGCTATCCCATTCCGTCATTTCTCCACACCACGGGATTAACAATGGCGCAATTATGGCACCATTTTCTGTGGAAACTATGGATGGAATCCTCTTTTAAGTGGATGATACCATTTTGAATTTAAATCAAACTAATAAAGAGGCATCCAGTCTAGAGACTTTTTATGATTATAAATAATGAAAAAAAAAATCTTAGGCGTGTAGGATATATAGTTTTTGATTGATAAAATTTTACTGAGCTATCTTTCTGATAATCATAGATTGCACACACATGGGGAATACTGTTAGATATTGATCATAGATTTATGATTGTATTTTATTTAGATTTCTTGTTTGGCTTATATAGCCAATAGTGTAGCTTTTGGTGTTATTTTTTAGTGCTTAAAAATAGAGGCTTTAGGTTGTAATAGGATGGGTTGAAGAAATAAAGTTTTGCATCTAGCTCTCCCCCTCTCTCCTTCCCTCTCTCCCTCCTCTCTCAAGATCAAGAAGAAGAGGAAGTGCTTCTTCCTCTCTAGAGCAAGTTCTAACATCTGGTATCAGAGCCACGATGGTGGCGATCTCGAGGTGAAGGAGAGGTAGTTTTATTGTCTAAGAAAACAATTCAAGAATGAAGAGGGAGCTCTGCAAGATTTGTTCGGGTTACTGGGGTTCACGAACTCACGCAGCAAGTCGGAGTTGGACTTGCGTGTATTGTTTTCTGCAAGTTAGAGCAGACCAGAGGCGGAATGGGTGAAGACTGCGTGGGCTGATGGTTCGCGACAGTGAGATCACAAGGAAGTTCGCGAGGCGATCGCCCAGGTGTTGCAGGCAGTTGGAGATCGGGGTCGGGTCGGAGAGTCCGACCGTGTTGGTTTTGGGCTCGGCGAAGGGAGCACGGATGGCGGAGGCCGACTTGGCCGCTGGTTTGACCAGAGAAGCTGGAGTTGGCTTCGATGGCGGCCTGGTGCCACGATCTGAAGTTTGCAATGGAGATCGCGTAGGCTGGGCACTAGGCGGAGGCGAGCTACTGGCCCGTGTGCAAGAAGCCGGCGACATGTCCAAGCAGAGAAAAGTCTTGAGCGGCTTGTTTATGCGGGTGAGGGAATCAGAGGCAGGCCAAATTTCACGTGGGCTTCTTGATTGCCAGTTCTTGAGTGAAGAGGTCCTGTTTGCGTGCGTGGGTTTGGAAGAAGACCAAGGAAGATCACATGGACGTGTTTCTTGCGATCGACTTCCGTTTGCCGGCCAACAGGAGCTGTCGAATGCAAGAAGAGCAGAGCTGAAGGAATTCTTGAGCAGTTGCACAGGAACAGTTACAGAGGAACCCTTCCATCATATTTCTGGGAAGGACATTCAGAAATAATTAGAAACAACTCAGAAGGAATATTGGGAATAGTTCTGGCTCTTTGATTTCTTCAAGAAGAAAATGAATCGGGCGTAGCTGGTTGGACTACAGGTCATGTGGGGTTCATTTGCATGAAGAACTGAAAGGCCATGATTCATTTTGAGTTATGTGGGCCATTCAGTTGCTATTACTGTTTTGCATGGTGTTTCTAAAAGATCTAATTAGATCTTTTTGAGGTGGAGTTTTGGACTTCAGGTGGAGTCCATGAGATAGAAGTGGAGTCGGCCTGTTCTTGAGGAGCAGTGCCGGGAGTGCGGGGCCCTTGACGTGCGACGTCGTGCGGTGCATGAGGAGGTCACATAGGAGAGCAGGGCACTGGTGGAGGACAAGCAGGTTACAGTCCGGACGCGGCAGTGTAGGGCGTGGGATTGTGATGAGCATGGCGCAGATGAAGGCGCAGGGCTCAGTGCGCGGGTGGATACGCGCAGAATGCGGTTGGAGTCGGACCACATGAGTGCAAAGTGCGGGAGCGGAGTTGGAGGCTTAGGGCGCGGGCACAGGGGTGCAGGGTGCAGATCGATGCACAGGACGCGGAAGCAAGGCACACAGGGTGCTCAGGGAATTGACTGTGTGGGACGCAGTGCGACTAAAGAAGATCTGTAAGGTGATGGACGCTATTTGCGGGGAAGATCGACGGGGTTGTCCTTTGTGGACATCACTTATCTTTTTGTGTAAATCTAGGATCAAGATGGAGATTGTTAGATATTGATCATAAATTTATGATTGTATTTTGTTTAGGTTTATTGTTTGGCTTGTATAGCCAATAGTGTAGCTTTTGGTGTTATTTTTTAGTGCTTATAAATAGAGGCTTTAGTTTGTAATAGGACAGGATGAAGAAATAAAGTTTTGCATCTAGCTCTCCTTCCCTCTCTCCTTCCCTCTCTCCCTCCTCTCAAGATCAAGAAGAGGAAGTGATTCTTCCTCTCTAGAGCAAGTTCTAACAAATACAACCTCCTTTCATAGTGGTTCATCTAAGCTCTCGAGTGAGGCTCTGACCTACATTTATATGCATTATAAATCCTAGATCCTGAGCATCCTACACAACAACAACAACAACAAACCTTTATCCCACTACGTGGGATCGGCTGCATGAATCTTTTTTTCTCCATTGTGTCCTGTTAGGAGTCAAATTCTCATTTAAATCAAATAAAGAAAGGCCATTTCTAATATTTTCTAACCAAGTCTTTTTAAGCCTACCTCTACCTTTCTTAACATAGGCCAAATCTAATACATCTACTCTCCTAACAGGGTCATCGGAAGGCCGCCGTTTTACATGACCAAATCATCTAAGGTGACTCTCTCTAATCTTATTTGTCACTGGAACTACTCCAACCTTTCAACGGATATGCTCATTTAGTATCCTTTTCACGGATATCCTAACCATCCTAATCAACAAGAAATTCAAATTTGTTTTTGTACATGAAATCTTAATCATTACTATGCTTTATATAATTCAAGATATTACGATTTATTTCCTATTTATTATAAGAATCTCATCACCTAGTCATGCCAGCTTAACTTTGATGTATTCTTCTGTTCATCACTAATAATATGTAATAGCTTGAGCTAGATAGATTTACTAATTTTACATGTTAATCTATGCAAAGAAAAAGTACCTTAATAATTGGAGGTGCATCAAGGGCTGTGCCATCCGTGCCTCTGCAAAGAACACTTGCAAGGTCAAAGCGGAATCCATTCACGTGATATTCTTCAACCCTATAGAGATTCAGGAATATGGGTGACTTGAACCGATGTAAATGATCGTTAAAAGAAAAAAATATTAGTTATTATATAACATAAAAATTGATGTTCTCCGGAAAGTATTATCTCAGTCAAATATATAAAATATGACTTTTACTTGAAATTCCAAGCAAGAGTAGTTTCAAGAACTAAAATTTATGTTTTCTCTTTCTTAAAGGTATCTAAATGTCCCAAGGGAGAATAATATTGCAGAATATCTCTAGATGAAAACGTGTGCAGGAGATGCAAATCGACATTCTGAGTCTGATTTTATTTTGCTTTAGTAGTTCTTTGATTTTTAGACCTTTTTTTAGTTTATTTGGGTATAATTGTCTATGATGATGCTTCTTATAGAGAATGGATTATATTCTCAGCAGTGCTAGTTTTATTGGTTCATTGTTGATTATTTCCCCAGTTTGATTCACGATTTTGTCCATCGAATCTTTCTATTCAGGTTCTATGATTGGTCCATGACTTGCACTTTTAGCTTAAAAGTCGATTAAAGAAGTAGCCCTTGGTTGCTATCGGGTTTTTCTATTAGGCCTTTGATTCTGAATGGAATAGCTTGGTTGCTCATAGGATTAAGAGTTTTGCTGGCCAACAAGTCTTCAATGAGCAGTAAATTTGAAATGGACTGTTTGATTATTGATTTAGTGAATTGGAAGGTTCCCGTTTTTGCTCCTAATCAGTTCTCTAACTGACAAAAAATGTGTTCAAGCTATTCCCAAGATAATATACGGCCACTTGCATGAATTTTGGGATTTTCAATTTAGTATAGCGGTTATTATTAAAGGGTGTTGAATATGTGAAGGTCTTTATGCAAGTTGCAATATGAAATTATTGTTTTTACACAGATTTAGAAGCCTCCTCCTTTGTCGATTTATGGGTTTAGCAATATTTGTGTGCATGATTTCTCAGTAATTTTTGAAGAGATCAAAGGAGAAATTAGGCTGTGAATAGTCAACATTGATGCTTCTGATCACATGACAGAAGATGACGCGCTTCTCCAAAATTATAAGCCATGTAGTGGTCACTCGTCCAACCATATTGTTGATGGTTCAAATTCTAAAATTGCTGGAATAAAATTACATCCAACTTATTAAAGAGTTGTATCTCAACTCTAACCTCCATGTATCAAACTTGGATTGTAATCTTTTGTCCATTAGCAAATTGGCTCGTGATCTTCAATGTGTGATTATATTTTATTCAAATTTGTGTGTTTTTCAAGATTTGAAATCAGGGAAGATGATTGAGAGTGTTGAACTGTGCTCCAGGCTCTATCTCCTCCTATGTGACAGATCCTTAAACTAAGTTTCTCAAACAAGTTGTGTCCAATCTCAGAGTATGTTAGAATCTTTCAATTATGTGTCCAATTCCAATATCAATAAAGATGGTGAAATTATATTGTTATACTATCATCCTAGTCATCATACTTTGTTTATCCTACAAAATTATTTACCAAATTATTTATCAATACAAATTCAACATCAATTCATTGTGAAACTTGTCATGTTGTAAATTATATTTAAATAATATATCCTTAAATTCCATACAAACCTTCAATTGCATTTTCTTTGATCCATTAGTAATGTGTGGGATCCCGCAAGAATAAAAAATATTTTTGTTACTAAATAGTTTGTGACATTTGCTAATGATCATACAAGGATAACTTGGGTTTTCCTTATGAAAGAAAAGTTTGAGGTCATGCCATTTTTTAAAGCCTTCAATCTCATGGTTCAAAATCAATTCAATTCTAGAAATCAGGTAATCAAGTTAGACAATGCTAGGGAATGCATCACTAGTAGTCTTCATACCTACCATCAAAATCATGAGATTATCCATATAAATTCTTGTGTTGAAATCTCTCAAAAAAATAGGGTGGTTGAATGTAAGAAAAGACATCACTTGGAGGTTGTCCGGTGTCTTATGTTTTCTTCTAATATTCTAAATTATTTTTGGGAGGAAGTCATTCTCATAGCTACCTATTTAATCAATCGTATGTCATCTAGTCCTTAATTTTAAAACTCTACTTTAGATTCTAGAGTCCTTAATTCTAAAACTCTATGTTAGATTCTTCGAGAAATTTATCACTCAAGGTTTTGATTGCATGGTATTTGTTCATGTGTATCCTCAACATTGTATCAAATTTGATCCTAGAACTAATAAGTGTATTTTTTCTAGGGTACTCTCTAACTCAAAGATTGTATAAATATTATTCTCCAACCAACAAAAGATTTTACACCACCATGGATGTTTCTTTCTTTGAATATGTGTCCTTCTATCCCAAATCTCATGTTCAGGGGGAAAGCATGAATGAACATCAAGTTAGGGAGTTTTTTCTCGAGTTTGTGCCCTTCGCCCACTCAGAGTCATCAAGCTCTTCTCAACCCATGCTTGTGCCCAAAGACATTACACAAGACTTGTTCACACCCATGCCTATTTAATCATCAGTCCACCCCACGAATGTTTCTTCTACCATGCCTGCTCAATCTATGGCTCCACAACTTGCTAATGAGAAATTTTAAGTCTACATCAAGAGGAGGAAAAGTTAGGAACTAGAACACAAATCACAGCCTACGTTGCACCGATACACCTATTTATGAAGGCGTGCTGTATCCGATACACCGATACACGGATATGCCTCCGATACTCCACCGATACGTGCCGGATATGCCAAAGTCGTATCCAATTAAAATACTATTTAATTTCAAAAGGACACGCGTATCCGATACGCGTGTCCGTTGAAAAAAAAAGAAATCCGAAAAAAAAAGACGTGTCGTATTTACCTCCGCGGTTGCGAGCAAGATTCTCTCATTTCCGATATGGATTTGAGTCTCTTGATGATATGAAAATATTAAAATTTATTAATCTTTCACTTGATGAGCATGAATAAGAAGCTATGATATTTATTGAAGATGATATAGAAGTTTAATGACAAACCGATGAAGAAGATAATTATATCTTTCCTTCTATTGAATAGTTGAAATTTCATGTGCTAGATAATTTATGTTTATGCTTTTATTGTTGTACTAGACATTTAATACTTACTTATATTTTGATATTATAAGTTAAAAGGCTACAAATGATGTTGTTGTCTTTTTTTTTTTGTAATTTCAAATATTATGCTTTGATTGCTTTCTTAATTTTTATGTATGATTTAGAAATTATAATGTTGTGTCCGCGCCGTACCTGTATCCTGTATGTTTAAGAATTGACGTGTCCCGTATCCGTATCGTGTCGTATCCGTGTCGCCGTATCCGTATCGGTACAACATAGATCACAGCCAGCATGTGGCCAAGATATTGACTCGATTTCAAATCCACCTGAAGAAAACATAGATACAGATAAGGCTGGAGATGCAAATTCCCAACATTGACGACTCTACCATGCTGATTGCATTGAGGAAGGGTGTTAGAAGATGTATCGGTCATCCAATTGGGAATTATATTATTTAATAAGGGCTATCAACAAATTGCAGTGTGTTTGCTACTTCTTTTGATGATATTCAAGTTCCTAGCACAATACAAGAGGCATTACAAAATTCAAAGTTAAAAAAAAAATCAGAGTGAAAAAAGGCAGTACAAGATGACATTGATGCACCATGGGTTGTTACTGATTTGCCAGCTAAGAAAAGGGTCATTGGGTTCAAGTGGATTTTCATAATAAAGTACAAAGCAGATGAATTAGTTGAGAGATTCAAGACTCGGTTGGTAACAAGAGAATTTACACAATCCTATGAAATAGACTTCTAAGAAACTTTTGCTCATGTCACAAAGCTTAACATTATCAGAATTCTTCTCTCATTAACTGTCAACCAAAAATGATACTTTGAACAACTGGACATAAAAAAGACCTTTTTAAATGGTGACCTTGAAGAGGAAGTCTACATGAAAATCTCACCTAATTTTGAAAAAAAAAAGTATGACAAAGAATTAGATTTTCAAACTTAAGAAATCCTTATGCAGCCTTTAACAATCTCCCCGAGCCTGGTTTGACATATTCATAAAAGCAATTTTGAAGCTAAGCTACATACAGGGTCAAGCTGATAATACTCTATTTGTCAAGAAATCTCACGCCGAGAAAATTTTTATATTGATAGTCTATATCAATAATATTATTCTATCCGGGAATGATGTGGAGGAATTACAGAGTTTGAAAAACTATAATTCAAAAGAGTTTGAATTTAAAGATCTTGGAAATCTTAAAAATTTCTTTAGAATGGAAGTGGCTAGATTAAGAAAGGGCAATGCTATTTATCAAAGGAAATATATTCTAGATCATCTTAAGGAGATCCGGGTCCGGTATGCTTGGATGCAAATCCGTTGATACTCCTATGGATAATCAAAAAAAAACTTGGCACCAATAAAGAAAGTACATCTGTAGACAGTGGGAGGTATCAGAGACTTATTGGACATCCAATCTATCTTTCACACACTTGACCAAATATTGGTTTTATAGTGAGTGTTGTAAGTCAATTCATGGGCAATCCTACAGAGAAACACATAGAAACATTCTACAGGATTCTTAAGATACTTGAAAATGACACCAGAGAAAGGTTTATTCTTTAGAAAGATAAAGAAATGTAACACTGATGCGTATTCAGAGAAGTAGAATGGGCAGAAGACATCATTGAAAAACGATCAACTTCTAAGTACTGCTCTTTTTTCTGGGATATATTGTTATGTGGAGTAAGAAGCAATCAGTGGTAGCCAGAAGTAGTGCAGAAGTTGAGCACAGAGCACTGGCACAGGACATTAGTGAAGAGATTAGGATAAAAAGGGTTCTTAGTGAATTGGGACAAATGAGTTCATCTCCTATTCTGATGATGTGTGATAATCTGGCAGTTATCGACATAGCTATGAATCTCGTGCGTCATAACAGGACTAAGCAAGTTGAAATTGATAGACACTTCATCGCATAAAAGGTGACTAGTGAGACAGTTAATTGAAATACATCCCTACCAAGCAACAAATAGA